TAAAAAGAAAAAGTAGTTTTTTTATTTCAATTTTTATTTCTATCTCCTGTTCCCTACAGTTCTCTCTTTATGAAACTTGTGTGCGTTCTCTTTTCTTCTCTCTAGACTTCTATTATTGCCTGTGATCATTGATCAATCATCTCTTGAAGAGATTTGTGCGCGTTTTATTTCTTTCTACTCTTTTTTTGATTTTTATTGTTCTTGATCATTGATTGATTCTCTTAAAGAGACTTGGGCTTTTGTTTATTTTTTATTAGTCTTTCATTCAACATCCCCACTCTGCCAACAATGATAATGTAATTGCACTGGCCAAAAAAAACCCTGATCGTGCTTTGGAGCGCTACCAGAGCCAAAACTTGTGCATAGCGAAGCGGAGCGGAGCAATTGGCCGCACCGCTTTAAAAACGTATAGCGACTCTGAAAATAAAGCGGAGCGATCTGCCACTATTCAATAGCGCCGGATCGCTCCGCTGTTAAAAAATTCATTTAGAGCGCAGCGGAGCGGAGCGCGGTGGCGTTGGTACTTCATCTCCTTCAGCTCATAGACATAGCATATCTTATTCATGGATTGAGAAACTTTACTGGATGTCCGGCTAGAAATCAAACAAGCACTAGATTCCTTTTTCAATGTCCAACCTATTTGAACAAGATGTTCAGATCCTTGAAAAGTTACTTATTTTCTTTTAGTCTTCTCTCAATCCTAAAGTTTTGAACATCAATAAAATAACGGGCTGATAAGATTGACTGGGTCCTTGATGAGATTGAGCATTGCCACAGGTCTGGCCATTAGCCGTGTTCGAACCAAACCCAGTTGCACGAAAACCCGGTAAACCCGGTTGACTTTTTGGCGGGAAGCTGTCAAGAGCTGTCACTAGATACACAAAGTTACCACCAAAAATGCAACTGGGTGTACTGGGTTTTTGAGTCTACCGGGTTTGGTTTGAACACAGCTATTGTCCAGGGTTGGCACCTGTTCACCGGGGCTTATTTCAGGGCAGGAAGGTCATTTTTGTCATTTTTGACGACATGACTCAAGTGGCACTTTAGAGCCACCGTACCATACAATGAGGTCTTTTACAAAGTGGTTTCCAATGAGATCAAACAAATCAAAAGTTTTCAAAGGGGAACTAGAGCTGGATAGAGGTGACGTGGCATTGGTCCACAAAATGTTGTCCCTTGATTTTTTGGCTTTTCATTGGATCCAACCTTCAAATTTGAAGGTCAGGTTCAAAAATTTGACAATTTCACCTTCAAATTCAACATTTGAAAAGTTCGCTGTGGATGATCCCACATTTTGATACACACTATGGAATGGCTGACCACCAGGGCATTGATGGTATCCAAGATTCAAGAAATGGCTTCCAGAAGTGCCTGGAAGTGTCATCCATAAGTGAAGCTTCTTGAGCTTCTGGAAAAATTCTGGACTCCATAACTTCCGAAGCACACGCACATGTTCACGGTGACCACATGACCAGATTTTTGTAATGATACAACCAGACTGCTTTATATACTTTTAATTGAGCCTGCTTCACTTGTTTTGATTTTATACATGCAACTATATAAGTTGTATGTCTTGTAAATCACCAAACTACTGTCCACTGCCAGCATTAAAGAGGTTCCCAAATGGGAATATGGGTCCTAGGGATCATATTCCCATTCTACTACTGTTACACAGTTCCATGAATATTTCTTGAGTATGTAGCCATTGTGATATATGTAGTCAATTTTTGAAATGTGTGTCTCAATCTGAACAAAGTTACAGCATGTATTACACATGATTTGCTTATCTAGATGAGCAGATAACTGAGCAGACCTGTATGTAGCTGACAGCTAAGGATTTACTCAGATGTTTGCACATATGTAGTGTATGATTTATGGCTCAGATGTTCAGTGTAAGATGATTTGATGCTCCATTCTTCTCTCAACAATATTCCCAGCCTAGGTCATGTTCCTACCAGGGAACCTATTTAATGCTGGCAGTGGTCCTCCAACCATCTTGCCTCTGGACCCCCAACCACATCCCAATCTCCTTCAATCATCACTCAACCCTTACGCCTTTGTCTCACCACAATGAATCATCTTTGGGGCCCCATGTTGTCATCAGCTTACCATCCACCTGGTTCCCAGATACTCAGTCAAGCAGAATTGATTAATCTTACTCCAACACAAAGAGAGACTACTCCCAGCTGGTGAAGAAGTCCCAACAACAATGCAAGCACTTCCAACAAAGATGCCTTGAAATGGAAAATCTGAGGTATCCTTGGATGTGGTGTCCAAGTAATCAATCCAAGGCAATCTCTGGGGCCAAAGAAAGCCTTGGATCAATTCCTTGGACACTGGACACAGTCCAAGGGAATGTAGATCCAAGGATTCAAGGTATATTTACTGGCAGTGGATAAGAAAAATGGAGACTCAAAAACCTATCCGGTCCACTCTCAAACTCAGTGGTGGGCAACTCAAAACCAAGATGGAAGGAACTCACTGGGCGTCTTAGCTGATTGGTTGACCACACGCAATGTTGATGGTTTCAAGATTGATAGTTGGTCACTGGCAGGGTGAATGTAAAACAAACACAACCACAATTGTTGGCCAGGAAGTCTCTCGGTACCTTGCTGAGAGAGGATTCCCCAACATTCTTGGTACATTGGTGGAGGCACAGGTATGTTTTCATAAACATAAATTGTGATCAATGAATTACTTTAGTTGGTATCTCTATATATTTAGATCCAAGAAGTAGAAACATCCTTTTGAAATGCAAGAGCCATGCAGAACATAAATGGTCAAGGATCAAAAGAGAAAGATATGAAAGATGCTTTGGCTAAGTAGGAACAAAATGGCTATTCCACTGGTAGTGAAGTATGGCAAGAGCAGCTTTCAGGCATCATTTGAAAGTAAGCCCTTGAACCCTAAGTATCAAGTTATGTAGATAGACAACTGACCTGTGGTAATCAGCACAACTGGAAAAGACCTGTCCAAATTATTACCAGCTGGTCCGGCATTTTAAAGACGCACCACAGCAGCACCTGGCGCAGTTTCAGAATCCACAGACATCTTTGATGCAGAATCAATCTTCCTGTACACAAATCCTAGCCATCAATCTTTGGATTTGGATGGCATCAAAAACCTGGTGGGTTCAAGTCTGGAAGCTAGTGGGGTCAACCTTGAACAAGTGCTTAGTACTGTGGACAGCCTTATCTTTGATTGCTCAGGCTCTTGCTAACCCAAACAAAGCCAAATCAAGCAGAGTGACAACCTTGGCCTAGAGACGCTTCAATTGCCACTCAACAAACCCTAAAGAACCTTACATGTGAACTCCTGTCAGGGTGGTAATACTCAAATAGAACTCATAAGGTCTAGACTTACGGAGTGTGACGTCCTGACATGGTTATTCCTCCGGTTACAAGGAATAGGGATTAAGTAATTAAATGTGGGTAGGTTCAAAAGAAGAAGAATTGATCAAAAACAATTGAGCATATTAACATGATGAAGTAGGTACTTCCTGATTTCTGTGTTTTCTAATTGAACACCTTCTTCAAAAGATTAACATGACATGATATCTATATCTGAACCATAAAGCTCTCCATACAAATTGAAATTAATCTCGATACAATCTGATATCAATCTTGATATGTTTTGAAGCCTCATTTCCCCATTTTCTAGTCAAACAACTACTTCAAAACACTAACATGTTTTTATAATTCCAAATGATCAGATTCATCTTTTTATTTTTGAATCTTTCATATCTGAACAACATAGCCCTTGATACAAATTGGAATTGACCTCAATACAATCGAGCATTGGTCTTGATATGATTCGAAATTGATTTGAAAACTCTTCTCATTATTTTTTGAAATCTCTTTTTAAACAAAATAGAATGTTTCAATGAATATGTAAGAGAAAACAGAAAGCAAAAAACATAAAGGTCTTATTTGTTTATTGTCTTGTAGTTTTCTTCTGTTGGTATCTTCTGAATTGGTGATGTTCTTTGACTAAAGTCACTATGATCCAATTTTGTAGTAACTTGCTAGGCCAAAGGGGGATCTCTTAGGTTGGGATCTTTCCTTACTCTGGAATGCTGTGTGAGTTTGTTCTTGCTTTTGGACCACATAGTTTTCCATGCCCACATGTACCTGTTTATATAAGAGCATGCCCACAAAATGGCATGTGATCCTTGGCTTGTATGGACAGGTTTGGTGCTCTTGCAATAGAGTGTCTCAAAGGTCAGCCCTTGTGACATGCATATGCCCATTGGTTACTCATCATCCATTATTCCAGAGATGCTGGCCAGTCATGTGGTAGTTGATCCATGAGCTATTGGATGTTGCACCACACTCTCACTAATTGCAGGGTGATTAAGAAACCACCACATTGACTCATCTTTGAATAAGTTTTTGCAAATGATCGACCTCCTTGGCACACAGGTGATGGACGTCTGAACAGCCATCCAGAAAGCTGTCATATCAGGAGAAGACGGTGGGTATCAGAGCTAGGATTGTCTATATTGTCTTACCTGCTCACCAATGATACGAGAAACAAATATACCATCAGCTTCAATGAACCAGTAAGTTGGAAGGTCAAGTGGAGAAACCCAAAGGGAGATCATGCCTTGGTCGTTGGTCTCAGGTAACATGATCCGCAATTCAACACCACAGCACAACGCTTGAATTCAAATTTAATTCTTAGTGATCGAAATCATTCTTTGAACATCCAGCATTTTGATATCCACAAATGTAAGAAACAGTACACAAAGCTTGTTTTAAGTGATAATAAAATGCCCGAATAATGGACGTCTTCTGATTTGTGCTTGAAATATTAATTAAATCATGATTCACAACATTTGCTTCAAAAATTATCATTTGATCACGCTTTTTTTAGAAAGCATGATATCAGGCATACAAATGCCTATGAAAAGCCTTTATAACAGCAGTTTCACAGTCACGTAATCGAACCTCTATTTTTCAGAGATCTGGTATGTGTCACGCAAAGTAGAACAGAATAAATCACTTGCCACGTGGGCTACGAGACCTCGAACGACTGGATCGCGAGTAACTAGAATGAGTACTTTTTGAGTAGGAGCGGTTGCGACGACTGCTTTTTTTGCCACCATATTGAGGACTTGGCCTTCTAGCACCACTTCGACGAGGACTTCTGCTCAAACTTCGGCTCGGCGAACGTCTTCGTCTGTATGGTGGACTACGCGATCGGTTGACTCTGCCTACTGGCGCTCTACTACTTCCACCAAAATCACGACGGGGAGGACTGCGGCTACGGGCGCCAGAGCCAGATGCAAATGGACGACGAGGTGGGCTATTTCGACGGCCTGGATGCACAGGACGCCCCTGAGCGAACCGGCCTCCATTATCTGCGCCGTTACGATATCTGTTCCCATTGCGAGGAGGGTCACGTAGGGCTGCTGGTCCACGTGGTGGTGAAGGCGGTCGGTAAACTCGAACCGTCAATAAGGAACCGTCCAATTGACCATGATCCATATGTGATATCGCTTTCTGGGCAGCCTTACTACTCTCAAAAGTCATGACGGCAGTACCCCGATGAGAGCCAACTACAAGATTCAAAAGAAGCCAATTCAAGCTAGAATGAGTACTCAAACAAGCCGAGGTAGGCGAACTAGAAAGGGAGGTCAAGGCAACTCACGTCTTCTTACGATGGGTAGGTCTATCTCTTTAATCTCGCCATAGACACCGAAAATTTCTCGAAGGTGGCTGGTTGTAACATTCTTTGTCAATTTTGATATTTCGATGATCCTCGCCTCATTTGACTCGCGAACGGGACTGCGCGAGGCGCTTCGAGAGGAGTACGAAGAGTAAGACCGTGATCGGGACCGCGATCGAGAGATGGAACCAGATCGAGCCCGCTTACGCCGAGCAGGAGAACGTGAGCGAGATCGTGAGCGAGAACGGGATCCAGATCGTGAGAGGCTCATCGACCTTGAATGGGATCGTGAACGGCTTCCAGAGCGGGAGTAAGAGCGGGAGCGGGAGCGAGACCTTTAATGAAAGATGAATGATTAATTAGCTGATAAACTTCAATTTATGGTAAGATGGAATATGGCCAACTTGTCTGGACTTCTGACAGGTTTTGATTGGGCGATCGGAGACTTGGATGTACGCATTTCCACATCTTTCTCGTTCCATAACGGCTTAGGAGATGCCGATCTACCTCGTTCGGATCCCATGTTAATCCTCGGATATCCTGATCGGAGTACAGAAGAGGCCTTTAGAAAAGTATCGTGAGCGAGTCGCGACGATGTTTTAAGAGTGCAAGACCGTTGAGGTTGAGAGGCTTGGGGGTGATCTTTGGCGGTTGTTTGGTTGAAGTCTACAAATTGCATCAAACCACATCGAGCTCAGGAACCTGTCTAAACCCATGATCGAATATCCTCTCATTGCTGACACCTACAGGCATGTCACTACAAAATGTGGACATCAAAACGCTATTTTACTCATTGGCCCTGGGCTAGCTTTGAACCTATAGGACATCCTCAACGCTTCCAGGGCTGGGTGTAGGTCATTTTACCTCGAGTTTTCGCGATACTGTGACTTATTGGAGTTCACACAAGGCAAAGACAGCGCTGCTTTAGTGAATTGTCATGTCATGTGCGCCCCAAAACATGAACCTGAGATAAAAGTAACTTGCAATGAAATTGAAAGGTTTGATTCAAATGACCAGAATCCTCTGTAATTTGACCAGTGATATTATACTAAAGATTCAATGTATGAAGCTGATCATTGGTAGTGCAACTTGACGAGATCCATCAAGAATCCGATCCTCATCCACCATCAGAAAACTCAGTAGAACCTGATAGACAATACTGTAAAAAACTACTAATATCTTGATAAATGTACATGATGAGTGGTTGACTACATAATGAATGCTCAAACAAAGTTAAACATTGTGGTGAAGGGTAGTGCTTGAAGAATAAAAATAGTATGATAATGATGTGAATACAAGTGGTAAACTCTGTCGGAGCCAAACTCCTTCCTGGTCCTCAAAAAATTATTCATGTCTGTCTTTGCTGGTCATGATAAGGCACCTGAAATTTTCATGTTCAGCCAGAAAGCAGATGATGGTGATGCTCAGCAAGGAGACATACAAATCAGAGAGATCTGCATTGCAATGTCACTGCTTGCGCCTGTGACGCCTGTCACGTCTTTTCACTTGATTAGTGACATACATGATACAAGGCAGCTTAAACAAAGCCCTCGTTTTGTTTCAACTTCGGTTGCCCAATCCAGATTCTGCAGTACCATAACATTTAAATCATCAACTTTGTTTTACACTTCATAATGTTCAGCGACAAACCACCAGACTCAATACTATCCTTTAGGGATATGCCTCCTCATCGCTCTGAAGTCAATCCACAAGCCAGTTCTGCCTCACGATTACTTTATAAGCCCAGTTATGATCTTCAATTTGATCTCGAGGTACTTTCACTTTTTCTTGACTTGATTCAATCTCATTTTTACTTGGGAAGAAACTTGACTAACTTTGTTCTTTTTCCTGTCTTATTTTTTTATTATAACATGACATTTTGGTTGATTAGATGGCGCAGAGGCGAAGCGAGAAAGAACCGAGACAAGACGAATTACCACACCCACCTTTGTCATATGACGACGAAGGTCAGGAAGGAGATGATACATCAAACGGACTGGAACCGAATGGAGTCGAATTTGGTTCAAAACTTGAAACCGAGAATGTGTTTGATGAAGAAACTTTGAACAGCCTTTGTGAGCCATCAACACAAATATATCAATTACCAAAAAAAGATAGAGAAAGGATGCTCGACACTACCTCTTTTCGAAATTATCTATAATCTTGATTCTTTACCTTTACACGCCTTGGCTTAGTTCCTGTGTGTTGATTTTTGAAAACTTCACCTTATTATCCAATCTATTCTTGCACTTGCAAACAAAATAGTACTTCCACCTTCACCTGAATACACTCCTGGTCTCGAACGTGAACTTAGACCCAACGCCATCTTTCTTTATAATCGATCGGTAGGATTACTCAAAACCGAACAAATCATCAGTCATATCATTCAAATGGTCAAGACCCGAGAACTCAACTTTGAACATTTGGAATGGATTGACGATTTTAGTTGTGTGTTGGCCTTCAAAGACAAATCAGCGGCTATTGAGGCTTTTACTACTTTACTTCTAAAACCGGATGAGGTCGAAGGAGAAAACGGATTGGCAGAGGCCATCGATTTCTTATCCTGCGTACCAAGCCGTCCTACACAAGATGTCCTTGCGGCCGCTGCCGATTTTGTTTTTGCTCTCAGGCCTTCGAAACCACTCGCCTCCAGTTTATTTGAAACCAACAAACCCAACCCTCTCTTACAACCTACTCGTCCGGAACAGTTAGTACCTTTCATCCGTTTCGCCACCAGCCTCGATGTCAAACGGGTTCGAGCTCGAGATCATAGTCTTTTTTACGTCCTCCATGGAGATCGTGCTGGTCGGGACGGCGTATCAACTCAGAAGGCCTCATCTTCTTTCCATCAGTCCTCTAAACGTCGACGAGTTGATAATCCTTCAAGTAGAAGACCTGGCCCGGATGACGAAACTTGGTCTCGAAATCGTCCCATTGCTCGTCTACCATCCGATCGCCGTGATGGTCGATCGCGTCACCGAGGAGCCGCCACTGCGGCTGATCTTGACGATGAGCTAGATCGTTTCATGTGTCAAGCTTCGACCAGTAATGATCAGGATGGGATCAATGATCACGATGATGGCAGACCTGGCAGCGACGATGAAGACTCACATCAGCGAAGGTCAAAGCGACATGAACCTGAAAGGGAACAGTTCTCTAAAGAAGACCTGTTCCCACGTAGTCGGTTAGGTGCAGGTGGCGGTAATTTGAACGATGAGGTATCGGAAGACAAGGAGCGACAAAGAACACCTCCTGAAGATGGACTGAGAACGTGGATTGTACAAGCTGATGGACAAACAAATGAAGAAGAATTAGGAGAAGATGAAGAACTTGTGGATGAATATGTTGAGATGATTGATGAAGAAACGGGCAAGAAAATCAAACGGCTCACTCAATCTCGACGTCGAAAGAGTCGTTCATCTGGAAATAAGGGACGTGGATCATCTTTTGGAAGATTGTTTGGATCATCTATCGGAAGATTATTGTAAGGGGATAGCTGGTGTTTTATTCTCAGACTTCAGGAGTTGTAAAACCTTTTTTGACTTGAAGGAACGTCCAATCATCACTTTAATCATCATTGGTAACGAGAGGTAAAATATAGGGATGCAGGCTGCTTTCATAATCCCTCCCTTATATACCTGACCTCTCTTTTATGTAATTTTGGTATTTGCCATTGTTCAACACCACATTTTCATGGTTTTCATACATACATGATTAAAAATGTGACGATATACATTTGACCTTTATTGCGCTGTCTAACACCATCATCATAAGTGGGTATCGTTTTATCAAGTTTAGTTATCGACATGCCCCTTGATCTTATGGCCACGGCAAAGATCCGGTTTTGAGCAAATTTGAATCATTTTGAAAGTTTCACCCTGGTAATACGAGACCTCTTGGAGGAGCTTGACATCTCTAGAGTTGGTTGACCCCTGTTGAACTCATCATAAAGGGGTCGAGAGTGATATCAACATCACATTCTTTGAGTTGATGATGGAGAACTTTGAAATCAGTCAGTGAACCCCTCAAACCCAATTTGTAGTTTGACATCTCAGTAGCCACGTCTCGTCATCCATGCAATCAATCAAGTCTCACAAGAGAAAGAACTTGATGAAGGCATGTCATATATAGTTTCATTTGAGCCTATCTTAGTTAATGTCACTTCAAGGGGTACAATGCTGAGTTAATCAGATCAAAGTTCGTTATCAAATGAAGTGAGAAGATGTTGTGAGAGGAGTTGTAAACCATGGGGTTTTAAACAGTTTAAGTGGTAAAGAGCGGACTTGTCTGTTGAACACAAAACTTCGATCTCTCTTTCCCATTTCTACCCAAACCACTTCTCAATCTCATTCACTTCATCATCAACTTTTCATATTCGATAACTATCAACTTATCATCATCATCGAACAAATTCAATATCTTGATCAATCATGTGGCCAACACTTCGATCTATCATCTTTCGTCCTACTTCAGTTGCAAGTAATCCGATCCGATCAACTGCTCGTCAATTACATTCCACAACCAATCCACTTCTAAACCAAGAAAGTTCTCAATCCAATACTTCCTCTTCATTCAACAATACTACCGCATCAAATGCAACAGTTTCACCGGAAGAAATCAAACATTTCAATTCATTAGCATCAACTTGGTGGGATGAAAGTGGAGGGTTTGGTTTATTACATCGAATGAATCCGATTCGTACTCAATTCATACGTGAAAGAATCTTATATGATGTGACACCTCAATCTTCACTTAAATTAGAATCACCATTAAATCCCAATCGATTTCTATCTGGTCAAAAAGTTTTAGATGTAGGTTGTGGTGGTGGTATTTTTTCAGAAGTTTTAAGTAGATTAGGTGGTGATGTACTTGGAATTGATGCGGCTGCTGCTTCTATAAAAGTGGCTAGTTCTCATGCTTCAAATGATTCTAAACTTAATTTTCAACATGAAGCTCAACTTGAAGATTTACCAAATCAAGAAAATAGACTTAGATATCGACATTGTTCAGTGGAAGACCTTTTAAAAGAAGATGATCAACAAGAGCTTTATGATGTTGTTTGTGCTATGGAAGTTATCGAACATGTTGAAGATCCTCACGCTTTCCTAACCGGTCTTGCAAAACTTACCAAGGTTAGTGTATTCTTCCATACAAGAAAATCGTCCTTTATCTTTTCCGTGACTGATAATGACTATTTGTTTGCATTCGATTTTAATAGCCAGGAGGTCATTTAATTCTATCAACCATTTCACGTACACCATTAGCCAGACTTTTAACGATTTATTTAGCAGAATCCAACTTACCTTTCATTGGTTTAGTTCCACCTGGAACTCATACATATGAAAAGTTTGTTAAACCAGAAGAATTAACAGATTTCTTTAGGAACAGATTAGGTTGGGCTAAATCATTTGAAAGATCTGAATTAGAAACTCGTGGTTCATTTTATGAACCATTAACGGGTCATTGGAATTTGTTTCCAAGAGAATTTGTTTTAGGTGAATTAGTAAATTATTTCTTTGGTGTTAAAAAACCACTTAATTAAATTTCTAAATCATAAGATTTTGTGTTATTCCATGTGATTTAAAAATTGTTCTTTTTTCCGTGACTTGAATGTTTTGCTTTTTTGATCACATTTTATACCTATAAGCTTCAAGTAGGATTGCAAAGAGTAAAAGAAAAGAATAGCTATCAGATTATTTCAAATCATGTAATGTATAGCTGTTATCAATTTGTAAGACTTCTGTTTAAACAACAAATATTATCAATCCAATATTTACAGGTATTAAGATCTATGTTGAGATCTAGAATGAAAAAGGAGATTTGAAGAATGAAAAGAAGATGAGCAAAGATTTATCTTCTAGTCCTATCTCTTGAGTTGGTCAAGTTGCGATCATCTTCAATTGATCGTGATCGATGTCGACGAGGACGATGAAACGAATCTGGACTAGGACTGCGATGATGATATTGATGACGAGATGTAGAGATTGATGGACTCTTTGATCTTGATCTTGATCGATACTCCTCTCGTCTCTTTCCTTTATCATATCGATTTGAAGAATCACGTTCTCTTTCGAAACTCCTCGATCGTTCTCGTCTACGAGATCCAATTCTTGAATCCCTAATTGGTTCATGATCATAATCTTCTCGACGTCTAATCGGTGATCTAGAATGACGTAAATGAGATTTAGAAGTAGAATGTCTTTCATGTTTGATGGCACGTTTTTCTGCTCTTGCTAATTTTCTTGCTAACTTTTCGGCTTTCTCTTTGGCTCTTTTTTCCTTTTCTTGACGTTTTTCTTCTTCATTTGTTTCTTTTTTTCGATCTCCTAATTCGGTTGTATTTGAAGAACTAGCTATCTGCGCCCTTGGTGTGGGTTTAAAACCTCTGGAGACAAAAAAAATGTAATCCATTAGTTTTTTCCCATTAGAATCGAAAGATAAATAAATAAAAATCAAAAAAAACTCAACAATGCTAAACTTAATGCATCTTCTTCAGCCAATTTAATCGCTTTAATTTCTTCTTCTTTTCTTTTTCTTTTTTCTTCAATTTGATCTTCTTCTGATTTGATTCCTTGATTTTGTTTATCATTATTATACCAAGTGATATCTCTATTTTTTTGCCATCTACCTACCGGTGCTAAAATTGAATGACCCAAATAATTTTCTCGATCTTTATCATCTGCTACATCTGTCCATTTAAAATCTCCTTGTCCTCCACTTTAATGTACAAAAATCATTTGATTAGATTGGAATGGTTTCTTTTTTTTTGATGATGATAGAGAAAGTGCCTTACCGTGTTCCTCCTCTGATGGGACCTGAAAACATGATAAGTTTGATTTGATTTAATTTGATTTGTAATTCAACTTACTGATTTGGAGTTGAAACTTGAGGAATGTGTTGAATCTTCACCAATCAATCAATAGCGGTAGATTTCAGCTGTGTGAAAGCTATGCTATAGTATGCTTAAAGCCAGGTGTAGACTGACTGAATAGTCTTATAAAGAGTAGGCTGAGTCTGTGATATGTCTGTGTAGTGTGACTAAATGCTAAATGTTCTGAAACTGAAACTCAATCAACGATCATCAAGCAACAAGATGATCCAACTCTATCAACACCTTCAACTTTTCATTTTATTCTCAATCTTAACACTTTCAATCAATCAAAGCAATGCATCTCAACAATCAAACAATTGGGCGGTCCTAGTTTGCACTTCGAGGTTTTGGTGGGTCATCTTCAATAATCAACTTATGATAAATTAGATTGTACTGATTACCAATTATCTTTTGATTGATCAACAGGTTCAATTATAGAGTGGGTCCCAAAAAAAACATTATCCATTTCGGCTCAACCAAGATTCTAGCTATATAGGAAGACTGTTTTGACAGATTATTCATTCAGACTTCTTCGAAATTCTTCTGATTGTTAATAGCATGTAGCTAATACATTAGGAATGTAAGTAGAACTCGACATCATCAGTTTATTATTGAGTTTCTTAACTTACCCTTTTTTTGATGACGATTATAGGTATCGATCTGTTAAAAGGCTTGGAATTCCTGATTCGAATATCATTCTAATGTTGGCAGATGATATGGCTTGTAATCCAAGAAACATGTTTCCGGCTACAGTTTATAGTAATGCTGATAGACGATTAGATCTTTATGGTGATGGAATCGAAGTAGATTATAGAGGTGATGAAGTTTCAGTTGAAAACTTTATAAGACTTTTAACAGGTTAGATCATATTTTGAATTTCTGATCTTTCGAATTTAGTTGAATCTTTTTACTAATTTCTCTCCTGATTCTGTTTCTCTGTTTCGTTTTTGATTTCAAAGGCAGAGTAGTTGATGGAACTCCACGTTCAAAAAGATTAATGAGTGATGAAAGATCTAATATCTTTGTTTATATGACGGGTCATGGTGGTGAAGAGTTTTTGAAATTTCAAGATTCAGAAGAAATTAGTGCATTTGATATTGCAGATGCATTTCAAACGATGTGGGCAGAAAAACGGTAAATGAATTTCGGATTACATTTCTTTTCTAAAATTGGATCAGATTAGATTGGAATGACTGATTTGATTTCTTTGGTTCTCTTTGTTTTGATAAAGTTATAACGAGTTATTTTTTATGATTGATACTTGTCAAGCCAATACAATGCTCACTAAATTCTATTCACCAAATATCTTTGCAACTGGTTCATCTGCTAAAGGCGAGAATTCTTACTCAGTTAGTTTTACTATCTTTCTATTCTATACTTCATCCAATCTTTTATTGAGCTGATTTCTTCTTGTTTTTTAGCATCATGCAGATCAAGATATTGGGGTGGCTGTTGTGGATCGGTTTAGTCATTTTGTTTTGAGTTACTTGGAAGGCCTCAACAAGACTTCAAAGGCTAATATGCAAGAATTTGTGAGTGGTTTTGACTAGAGACTTAAGAGTCATGAATACTGACTTGTTCTTTTGATCTTCATGCGCAGGTTGATGCCTTCTCATTCGATACTTGTCACTCTACGCCTGCTGCTCGTACTGATCTACTTACACGTCCATTGAAGGATATCTTGATGACTGATTTCTTTGGTGGCGTAAGTTCAGTAGAACTGGGTTCGTCAACTCCTTTGACGATCCCCACCGAACCAATCGAAACTCAAAAATCAATTTGGGTCACACCAACACCTTCCTCTTCTAAAATTAAATCACCTAAATCTTCACCTACTTCTGATACTAATGCTAAAGGTAAGAATAACGATGGTTTAGAATTGTTAATTGAACAAGTCGGAAATTGGCGTGATCAATGGATGAAAGGTGTTTTGATTTTAAGTTTAACGGTAACTGCTCATTTTGTGGCAGCTACCATGAAATGAAATTATGATTTTGGAGTTTGTAATTGTTGGATCATATCAATTGACTTGCGGTTAGTACCAGAGGAAATAGTGAGATGTCATGATACAACACAAATAGGTGATATCATTAGCTTGGTTTCCACTCTTTTTCAAAGAAAGATTATCAACACAATCAATTGAAAAAAACTTAAAAGTCAATTGAAATAAGTGATATTGAAAGTTAGAAAACATTTGATGGAATGAGCTTATTCAAATTGATCAAGTTCAAAGTAAGCGAAGGGGGCAGATGCCATTTAACAAACTCAACATCTTCCTTGACATATTTTCCTCCCTTAAAATTTGTGAATCTCTCCTACCAATCCTTGAAGCCTCTTGGTGAACAATGTAGAGCCCACTGAAACCCATTGATATCTTGAACCTTTGATATTTCGTCTCACGTTTCATTTATGGAACTCCATAGATGAAAGTGTTCTACATTTGTTTTTGCAATATATTTATGAGTTTGAAATCCCATAATCAACAACCAGCAAGCCGCAGTGAATCAGGTGCGATTAAATAACAGTTCTAACACTACAACATCCTCAAAATTCTGTACTATCTATAACACAAACTACGCCCAAGACCCCTGGAGGACTTGGATAACATCTAGAAGTGATCTACGTCATCTTCATTACCTTAGTTCCTTGATTATGCGATATTATCTATGCGATGAAGACACATTAGCTTGGATAAGCTTCGTGGAAAAGAGTGCGAGAAAGAATTGAAAGGTAAAATTGAACCTACGCCAAAGTAAATTCTTAAGATTAGACCAAACTTCCGAGTCTAAGTAGAGATCTTTGAAACCAGAGAATCATCAATCAATCATAGAGATCAAAGCACCGGAAGGCAGTCAGTATTCCAGGGTTCTTGAGCTTCAATTGAGATAGAGCTCTGTGGACCTACATTGCATGCTATTGACTAGACCACCTTGCAAAGTATGCCTACGCCAGCGAAACAGCCACATGACTGCTCCCCAAGTGATAGCAGCATATATGGAAAAGACTCGGCGATCGACCGGGATCGAAGCTGGATAGGGGTAGCCAGGAGGATGAGGCATCGAACCAGGAGGTGAATCCCAGCTCCTACTACTTTTGGGTTGTGTAGTTTGTGTCACGATTATATCTGGCTTTGATGCAGTTGGAAGTTTGGCAGGTTGAGCTCGAGGAAGAAAAGAAGATATTACACGAGAGACACAGTACAAGACAATCTGAAACAAGGTAGAATGACATCTATCAATCTATTGTTCATTTTGGGATAATTGTGATCGAAAACTGACCTGCTCGTTTACCGAATTCTGTTCTCCAAAAACAAAGTAACCACCCAGTAATCCGGCCAGAAAAGTATCAATCTTATGTTCCTTTCCACCAATCTGTCGTAGAAAAAGGAGTGAAGTCTTATAGATTGCGTTAAAGCGACACAAGTTAAGAGCATGTTGTTTGGTAGCATTATAAACAAATCGAGCACGATCTTTCAAACTATGTTCATCCAAGCCAATAAGAAAAAGAAAAACAAGAATATAAGATATCAATAAGGGAATCTGAGCAAGATAAGGAAAAAAAGGTTCACTGACGGCCTGCCTCCATGGAATATCAAACTCATCACCAATGCATGAGGAAAGCGGATTTTGGCACCATAGACGAGAGCATTGCGAGCACCTTTGACAATTGCTAATATTTCTTGATACCGAGGGTTCGTGATCAGGCGATTGATCTCGTCCATGCTGAAGTCAAGGTGGGATTGAGAGAGTAGGTTGTGGTGATCGAAGCCTGGCCAACCCTGCTGCCTGCAGCCCAGTGTGCGCAATGATGTCCTCCCTTGTTGACCTCATATGTCACATGTCATCAGTGACACCCCCTTTAAGATTGGAGCACGCCCTTAAAAAAAGTAGCACCCTGCAGCCTTCATGTATCTTTGTGCGTGCCCGTTTACAAATAGGCAGGACCCTGTTGCAATACTATCTGGTTAGTTAGTCAAAGATCACAATCCCATAGGAGGTAATTGGAGTGAATGATCAGGTACATGTAGTGAGACTGGTTGGTGAAAGCAGACTAATGCAGAGTGGTTGGATTGTGCAGGTGTATAAAGGGATAGCAGTTTGGTAATTTAAAGCCAGGGGTATTGGAAAATTCTGTTGGGGGTTATCTGGTCTTTTCTGTGTTTCTTTTTCCCACTTTTTCTGATTCTTTTCTTGTCAAAAAGAATCAGTAAGTTATTTTCTTCTTACATTATCATTGTTACTTTTTGATTGTTCACTAATAACAGACCACTCTTAAAACTTAGATTTATTCAACTTTTTGTTGTCTGTTTTATAACCTTCCTCTTACGCGTGACCTCATTGTATTTCAAGCTCACAGGTAGCTTCCTTTCTCTTTTGGTCATTCTAGTTCTCTTTTTGATTGTTGTGTTCTTTTGATGTTGTTAGGTCAGTTGATGTTCTCGACGTGACTAGCCGAATAGCTGTAGTCTTACGCCGGAACCTGTGCCCTCAGGTTAGTAGGGTCTTGTCGAAAAGAATCAATTTATTCAACTTTTTGTTGTCTGTTTTATAACCTTCCTCTTACGCGTGATCTCACCCTATTTCAAGCTCACAGTTCAGTTGTTGTTCTCAACGTGACTAGCCGAATAGCTGTAGTCTTACGCCGGAACCTGTGCCCTCAGTGTTTGTTATTACTACAGGCTTCTCCAGCGACAACGTCCCTCCAAGATACCTTTGTGGTTCTGGAGTTAATCCCAGTCAAGAAGTCATTAGATCCCGGAGAGCTGCTATCAAGGCATACAAAAAATGTCTTACACTACATACCCTTTATTGGAGTTGGAATTCATAAAAAGTTGATACATTTCCTTGCCTTTCCTCAACAAGGCCCAGCAAGAAGCGAGGGGCTTGGTCAATTTTGGATTCCATAGCAATACAAATGTGAAGACTTTTTACAAGCTATGAAATTCACAGCAATTCACAGCAAACATAAGGAAATACAAATTTTTACATTGTGGGCCTCGATAGTAGCTCTCCGGGGTCCTAAGTAGGCCCAATCACAGGGGCAAAAATTGATGCTCACAACTATGTGAGCATTGATAGTTTCCTGCCCTTTTCTTTCTGCTTGTCAGCTCATTATGTGATCAACAGAAACTGAGGAGATGAGTCAGGCCTCCCTCAGGCAACATTCCTTAGCAAAGAAGCCTGAGGGAGGGCTAGCCCATCTGCTCACTTCATCTAAGCCCCTCAGCTCATCCTCAGTGGTATCCCTTGACACCTGCTGATCCTGGGGACACCTATGGCTGGCTGGGCTTTTTTCAAGCTAGCCCGTGTTGGGTTTTACAACACCAACCCAAACTGTTTTGGGAACAAGGGCAACTGGGACTTGCCCGACAGTGCTGGCTGTTGGCTGACAGTAATCACTTTCATGCGCCTGTTGCAGACCTTACAAACCCGTGATATCCTCTCAAGTTTCACACACTCCTGTCTCGTGCGTCACACCATCTTGGATGCACCAGTAATCACAAGAGTCTCAATCAACCTTCACTTATCAATCATTAGAACTTGATTTAACTAATCTACAAGCTTCAACTTATTTTGAAATCATCAGTTTATTGATCTCTTTAATCTTGATCAATTTCTTAATCTTTTGGATTTCATTTTGATTCTCTTCTTTTAAACTTCTTTCTTCTACTACTAATCCTTCAAAAGTCAAGTGAAATTCAACATTAAAATTAATCAAATTACAAAACAAATCATCAACTACTACTACCACCACTAACCATAATCAGAATAAGAATAAGAAGAATATCATCAATCAAATCAAAACTATCATTACTTTATTCATCTGTAACCAACAACAAAAGAGCCAATGGGCTGACAAGTCTTACAAGAAACATGCCCTTGGAACCACTTACCAATCATCTCCTACTGGTGGATCATCTCATGCTAAAGGTATTGTGCTTGAAAAGGTACATGGCAATCTCATCAGATTGCTTCACGGCATGGATGTAAAGAAATTTGGTTCCTGATTCAGACTTTTGCCAGATGTTCATGGGAATATTTAGGTTGGTGTTGAAGCCAAACAACCCAACTCCGCTATCCAAAAGTGTGTTCGAGTGCAATTGATCAAGAACCGAAAGAAGGTCACCGCTTTTGAACCTAACAATGGTTGTCTCAACTTTTTGTAAGGCTCAAGCTATCTTTGGTCAAGAAGTGTTGATTTTTGTCAAGATGTTTACTTGACTTAATTTGATTATCAGGGATGACAATGACAAGGTGTTGATTGCTGGTTTCGGACAAAAGGGAAATGCCAAGGGTGATATTCCTGGTGTAAGTTTTCCGATGTTCTCCTGCTGTCACACCAGTGAGGTTGATATATTATTTGACATGGCTATCAGGTGTGTATCAAGTGTGTCAAGGTCTCTGGTGTTGGTTTGTTGGCACTTTGGCTCAAAAAGAAGGTTCGTTCTCCATCCTTTGGTCTTCTTGAACCTTTCCTCTCATTGACTGGTTGATTTCCTTTACATTTTGTCTTTGATAGAACCCAGGTCATAATTGGAAATTTTCCATTCCCTTGCTTCTCCGCTGTATATGATGCGTCCACTTCACCTTTGGGCATCCTTGCCGTTCCACCATCACTCGCACAACCATTATCAGTCTTCTTCCCTTGCCCGCCCAAGCTTATGCTACGTCAAAATGTCTTTGATTGAACTTAAATGTAGTAATTCACTTACTATGCAATACTATGCCTCTATGTATTGCCTTATATCTGGTGGGCTCCAGGTGTATGTGATGAGCTTGTGGAATCCAGTATTTGAAAATCTAATCCAGAAGTATAAATAGCTCATCTCGAAAATGAGAATACCAGACCTTTGTCTCAACCAAAAACCATCAAGCATCCTACTTCAGTCAAGAGCAATCCCGCTGCCTAGCCGTCCCCCTTTCTCGAGTGAGCATTTGCGTCCAATATACTTGTCAAGAAGCTCAAAGACTTCAGAGATGTGACTGCTGCCGGTTTAGTACTTACTGAGAGATTATGTACTCCTTTCATGATTGGAAACCAAATGATTTGTAATCTGAGCTATGCAGTTGAGTCCTGGTCGATGACCAGTAACTAAAGCTGCTATCAGATTTGATTGAACATGATGTGTTGTTTTGTGTCGCGTACTATGTTGACAGTGAATTTTTGAGTGGTGACACATATAGAACCGGGATACTTTTCTATGAAGAATGAGAGAAGTTTTTTCTTGAAGTTGAACACCTCACCTTCCAAGTTTCAAGTTCCAAGACAATGGACTTGAAAACGAACTCGATTCAACTTTAGCTTGACAAACTTCTCAAGTAAAATGATTTAAACACATCCTCAACTCTTCACAAGACATCAAGTTTATCATGAATTCTAAATGAAATCAAACTCAGCATCTCAACTCATCAACTTCAGCACCTATCCCTCTATTTGAATTATCCACTCAATTCAGGTAACTCATCAATATCCTCTTACTTGTCATCTCATCATCAATACCCTAACAATCAATTAATTTTGATGTAGGCATTGGAGATTTTCTGAATCAGGTCTAGAGAAAGCTAGAAGAGATTTGAATGAAGGTGTAGTAGGACGTGTAAGAGCAAAAACTGAAGAAGAAAGAGTTGCGTATGAGTCAACAACTTTTGATTTATTGATATCATTTAATTAACTTGCTTTTTGATCAAATCATCATTGATTAGCGTACTGATACACAAGATGGGATGAAGATGGATGAAGATATCAGGATGTCAACTCAGCAATCAAATATTTACCTGTTGCAGATGAATTATCATTAGTTACATTCAAAAGGAGAGATTGAAGAAGGAAGATGAAGAGAGTTAATTGGAGAAGAAGGAGGCAAGATTGAAGTTAGACTTGAAGACTAAGGTAAAGAATTATCAAACTCAACCCGTCAAAAACCGGTCTCTGCTCAAAAACCCACAGAATTTGAGCTGGGTTTGGGCCGTGATTCTTGGGTGCCCCGCAAACCAAATCTCAACAAAAGCGGGGTAGATTTGTGGTGTAGTGCTGACATGTATTGGGAAGGGTGGTGAAAAAAATGAGTTTGTTTCCATCTTGGAGAGGTTCTGAGTTGTTCTGAGTATGCCTCATGAGCGGATCCTGAATACTCATCTCAGAAACTGAGCCCAAAGAATGCTCATCCAATATGAAAATGAGCATTCTCCAGCAATGCCAAGCAAAATCTGAGCAAAACAGCCTGATTGCCTGAACACTACCAAACTCATGAATTGAATGATTCTGAAACAAAATGAATCTTTTTTGGAGATTTCAGGAAAGTCTACAACGCTCACATAGTTGTGAGCATTGATTTTGGCCCCTGTGAATGCACCTTTGATCAAGCTGTGGGTGCGCCCAGGTGCAAAAAAGCCCCATTGGACTGGCGTGGGTGCAAGCCATCTTTCCTTTGTCATGCATCCTCAGTCTTGATTCTCTGTTGTACATTGGTGAATCTGTGGTGACTAATGTTGAAAGGTGTTGTCATTGTAAGTATGATGTAGCTGTACATACATGGGGCAAGCAGAGCAGAGGTTGCAGCCAGCAGGAGAGCCGTGACTGTCAGGGTCTGACACTGACACTGACTGCCAGGGCCTCCTACAACCCATGAACTCATGGGTCATAATAACACACTACAGAAATGTTGATCCCTACCTGTTGCATTGCCTGTCCTTCCTAGTAGCACCCAGTTAACAGACAAAAGACAGATCCGGTGAAAATCATTAGACCCTTTCACCCATTCATGAATGATGATTTGTTTGGTTTTGAGTAATCCTACCAATCAATCATAAAGAAAGATGGTGTTGGCCTAAGTTCATGTTCAACACCAAGAGTGTATTCTGAGCATGAACGGCAAAATACTACTTTGATTTGATCCCTGTGGAAATCTTTTGTAGTGTTATGAGCTAAAGAAAATCTCAAGTAAAGTAGATCCCAAAGAAGAGGTTACATATTTTCTTAGATATGATCAAACTAATTTGAAGTAACAATTTAACTGCAAAAGGTTCCACCGGAAACAGAACCGGAATTGACCATGAAGCTTCATAGATCAATTATAGAAGAAGATTCTTTTAAAGCAAGATATTCAATCTGCTCCTTATCCTTGACTCAACACTTCACATATACGGTACGGCAATTAATTCATCAATTGTTTTATCAGCTTGTAGTTATGTTGAAGTTGACCATTATTCTCTTTTCTTCATATCCATGATTGTTTTGCTATAAGTTTCTGGATGAATCCCAATCCTCAGTTGACTCCACAATAGCTGATGAGTGGATGGGATTCAAGATCAAATCAGTAATCAGTACATGTGAATGAAAGAGCATAAAGATTTCATCAGGGATGTGATGTGAAAAAACTACAAGTGAAATTTATATGCCGGCTGTCACGTGAGTGCAACAGGTCACTGAAAGGCCTGACTGTCAGTGGCCTGACAGCACTGGCAGGGTTCTCCTGATTGCCTCTTGTTCTCAAGCGGAGTACTGCTTGAGGGAAATTGGCAAATGTATTGCAAACAAGTTGTGAACAAAATTCATGATTTGAGGAAATTTCAAACCTGGACACCAAAATTTGGTTCAATCAAGGTTTGAAGTAATTAATTCCCGCAGTGTTAGTACACCAACCAATATCTGTGTGTATGGTGGGTAGTGTCTAAAAGCATGTAATGTTGGGCTGCGCAAAAAAGATTACACACATTTGAATTTCATACATACATGTAGGATTGAGATGGAATCAACAGTGGTGTATCAGTTGCTTTCTTACCTACCAATTCAATCACTTTGCATCATTTGGTAACCTTTATCTGATCAATTCTTTGGTTTGACATCAAACTATGTAAGCTTTTCTTTCTTGTTGTTTATTATATTTTTTGAGCTTTGCTGATTGATCCATACACCAATTTTGCTGCAGGCTATCACAAACATATTGACAAATGTTGCAAGCTTCAAGAAGCAAAGGATTTGTTTGGCAGGATAAGACCAACTTGTCCTCTTATAAAAATCTGATGTTTATTACCCAAAACCAATGAGATTATGGTTGATCCTTTGTAAGTCAAACTTTTCTTGATCTCATTAATGGACCTTTACTTACTTTGATACTTTACTTGATGTGATTGCTATAGGGAGGCTGTAAGACTCTGACCTGGTCCCTACCCTAATAGTAAAGAGCATACACTACATCAAACTGTTGCTCACAACTCTACCACAAATGCTGACCTCAATGCTGATTTTTCTCATTTTTTCTTGCATGTTTCTCAAATACAACTTTTGTTGTTGATTTTTGTTCCAGCTAGTCATAAATTTATGTCACATGGCACTTGTATTTTTCTCATCAATCCGTTTCTTGGAGCTCCACAACCATCCTAACTTGAATTACAATTTTTGTCTTTGCTTTTTTCTTATAACTTCATCAACTTTAAATTTTTCTCCTTTGTTTTTGCTCTCACTAATCAACAAGGTCACAAAGAAACAGAAACTGTATTGCTTTCAATGTGTTGTCCAAAATTACACTGTATGAAAAAGAATCAGCTGTGGTGTAAAAATGATGAGATTTTAAAACGTCAATAAACAATCTGTTCAATACAAATTCGGATTACTATCAATCTCAAGATTCCAATTCCACTCTTGGATTTGAAATTCAATGAATTTTGTGGGTTTGACAAGCTTTTTGCTCAAAATACCCAATTTCACGGGTTTAGGCACTACCCACTATAAAATATGAAAAAATACTCATAATGGAGCTCCAATATCCAGGAGCAAGGTGCATATTGTTTTACATTTTTTGCTCTCTTCCTGTTGCCTCAGGACTTTTCTACATCATCAGTTTTCTTTTCTGCCTGGTAAATATTATATTTTTCGTAGTGTTATCTACTTGCATTCTTACCAGCCACACAGGCTGGCCATACATTCCAAGGAGGTCAAAACCTCACATGCTACTCTGCTCAATGCACCCATCACCAGCATATATGATTTCAGCTTAAACTTCCCAATCAGTCTGCTTGATCTCCATCTAAGAAACCTTGAGACTGTCTGTGTCAAAGGCAATATTTGTCTACAAATGCAGATAGAGGAAAACTCTGGGAAACTGTGTCATTATAAGGAATGTGAGAGTTTACATTGATCAACATCATACTCTGCAGAAACCACTGTTCACAGCCTGTGATGGAGAATTTTGATCTTTATTAGACTGAAGATATGAGCAAGCCTTTGAAGACTTGGGCAATAGAGTGATTTCCAAGATGATTAACAATCTAGTACAGATACCATGCTTGTAGAGTGACAGGGTTATGATGAAGAGGTGAGATACATGCAATGAACAATGGTTTGAAATCAAGAGGAGCAGGATAGAAACTACGACAGTGGAGAACTCTGGAGAATAATTAGATATCTGGATGAACAGGTCCCCAAAGTATGGTGTTTGTTGAGGAAAAAAGGAAAATGGAGGTGTTTAAGCTAGGTTGAAAAACACCAATCCACAAATCAATATACCCAATACCGTCAGAAGCGCGTAAAATCAGTTCATCCATCACCTAAGATCCTTTGTTCTGTGACCTATGCTGTGCATCGCTTTGAGAAGCAGTGAAAAATCATTCTCGGACAGTTGTTAGGGTCGCCCTCGGTAGGGATTACTTTTACCCCTTCACATGCTGAAATGCAAGTGGACATTTCCCCTTCTCTACCCACTGATGGTGACAGGCTCTACACTTGAAGTCGCAATCAAAGTATACCCCAAGACAATTTCCATTGGCATAAGTCTCAGCCTTGCCTTTTCCTGGGCAATTGATCTGTGGGGATTGCGTCTTCTCGTAGTTTTGGGAGCGACAGTGAGGGCACGAAGCAATAATCTGCCGTATACATATGGCGGAGAACAGCATGATGACCTTGAGGCTGAACGTTATATCCATTGGACTGTGAAGTGGCAGTGGGGTGGAATTTGGACTTTCCAGCTGTATGAGCTCTTTAAAACAAAGCAACAAAGTAAGAAAAAACTCAAAAGCCTTTAATTAGATATGATTGGCTTACACAAGGATGCGAGTGAATCGTGCTGGTATTATTAATTGTAAAGCAAGAGTGAAAGACAAGACTCTTCTTATCCTTGTCAGGCCATCGTTCGCCATCCTCGGATTGAAACCAAATTTTTTATCGAAGTGAAGTTTCAGACCTGGAATACCCCCGTAGCAGCCCGTAGCTATCAATCAATGCCCGCGCAAGAGTCAAGACATCCTGTGAGACAAGTTTGTTCTCAGAGATAAGTTGACTCAGAGACCTTGTGGTAAGACTTTTACTTCCTAATATACCTCATCTCAAGTAAGAGACTTATCCTACCACCTGCCGTGACGCGCGGCTTCGTTTCCCGATTCATTTGCGAGTCTTCATACAAGTTGCCTTCGCTTGCGGCTCCGGGTTGCGACGCGTTGAGGAAATTTTTGAAAGCAATTGATCGAAATCCGATGTGTGATCCCATCGAGACCTTCGAATCGGAAGCATGTCTTGTCGGATACCTTGTATCATTCAATGAGTCATGATAAACTTGTTTTTTGGCACAGGGCTATTCATTTGATATGTGCGTCTGAATGCCGGTGATAGAGTGTGATCCATTCAAGACCTGCCTTGAATCGTCTGTTCCCGTCCGATCCCCAGTCATCTCCCGTCAGATGAGCATTAAAAAGCAAAGATTTGATGAGGGTTCATGACATGCCAGGTTTTTGAACAACTAACCTGCGCGCATAGCTGTTAGTTGCTTAACATTCTCCCAAATTTAATCCTGAGGTTGACTGGACTTTTGTTGAAGTAGGGTTTCAAGCACTTGAAAGATGACAACTGCCAAGATATTCTCTGAGACCATCTGATAACCTGTGCTTCCTAAAATATCTCATCTCAAGTGTCATAAGGGTTGTCCCTCGAATTTACTAGACCTGGGGCATTCTTAGTAACTGATGCATGACTGAGTCTTATCAGGCCACTCCGAGACATTCATAAGATAAGGTTTCTGGATGTGCTACATCACTCGTGATACGTTGTGTCGCATGTGGGGATGAAGGTACAAAATTCGATACCACATTTCAAAAACATATGCCGCAAAGGCTGAGAGGGTGGACACCTCATGAACATGAACATCAAGATCAGTTGAACAGAAGTTAAAACGTGACAACAGAATGCGCTGTGCATGTGGGTTTCGGTTTGAGGTATTCCTTCTTGTGATAGGATCCGAATCCTTTACCCAGCAGATGTCTTGCCTGGAAGTTCGCAACTGGCTCCCTTGGGAGCACCAATCATCATTTCTTGGGGCAAGGACCTCTAAAGCTGATCGAACGTGGTCTGATGATTTTTCATCTGCATGCAGCAAGCACAAAAAGACGTTAATCTTGAGAACTGTCAACTTGCTTCTTTTCTGAGATTCGCTTTAACAGTGCGCGTGAGCTAGTGAAGAGCCCTCTCATCTCCTCAGCGTTTGCGAAACCGCAACCTGCCCATCTGATTTTTTTGTCCCAATCAACCAGATAAACGTAACCCAACAGCTTATTGGCCATTCCTAGCGGTTCTCGGAAATATTCAAGATTTTGGTTTGACAAGAGATATCGAGATTGCTGATGAGCAGGCACGTTGCGCTTGAGATTATTGATGAAGAGGCTCACTAGCCACGACTTGAGAGGATTTTCTTGCACGTTCAGCTGGAAGCAGAGAGGCCAGGTCAACGGACGGGTGGTAATATCCGCAGGGAACAAGAAACAGATCGGGCAAGAGGCTTACTCGAACCAATTGGAAATCGGGTTCTCCCGCCAACATTCGTGTAGGTTCCGTGTAAAAGGAGCGCGTATGTTCCTATGTGGGGTATGAGTACGTTTAAGGCGTTCTTATGAAGGGTAAAGACATACCTCTGACATTCTCGTGCTCTCGACTGCCAATAAAGTAACCTTGTCATCAAACAGATCGGTTGTATGGGCCATTTGCTTGTTGGAGATAGCGATGCCTTTGATGTCGGGGAAATACAAAGAGCGCTAGGAGAAATGCGGTGAGGATTTCGGAAAATCATGATGAGATGAAAAGTCCGTGTCCACATCTGTAAAACCGTAAAAAAAACTCACTTCTTCGCGGATAAGACTCGGCGGAGCAGTCCACAGTTTATTTCCATTGTGACGAAGTGTTGCCCAATCGTGATAATATCCTTTAGAGACTTCAGAAATGCTACATGACAGTTCATGCTATCAGTCAAGCAAAGTTTGAAGTGCAAAGTGATACGATCCAGACTGATAATGTTCATTCACATGTGTTTGCGTTCTCGTAATCTCGATTCTTCATCTACAAGCTTCGCCAGTTTTTCTTCCTTGGTAGCCGGCGCCGTGCTAGGAACCTCCTCCACGCCTAATGGCCGAGGAAGATAAGGCGGGAGTTTGGTAGCGTCGTTTTCACCGCTTGTGGTTGAGAATGTAGTCGCGCATGCCGCCGGTGTAGCGCCGGAAGTCACGGGTGAGCTTTCACGGGGCGATGGATCGGGGCGTCTGATAGATGAGCGCGGTTCAGTGCCATTGGGAAGAGGCGAGGAAGAGGATGGTCGTGACCGGTTCCAGAGAGGACATGGCCTGGTTCTCGATGGATGCCTGCATGCGTAGCGGCCGAAAGTAAGAATCATGACGAGCGACCCTCCGAATCGAAACGCTCGCCTCACCAAAATTACACAATCTGTCATGACGGATGTCGTCGGTCCACTGCGGTTCACGGGGCGGGTACACTTGGTACAGCCCCGTTTCGTGACCCCACATCAGTCCTTCTAGTACATATGATGTAGTACTAAAGTACATAGGTGGCTTTTAGGTCTTTTTTGCATTGCTTTAAAGTGTCATTGGAGCCGTGAAGCTATTTAGACACTGCATATTTTTAAGGGGTCGATAGATTTTTACACTGCACCTTTTACACTCAATATTCAGTGTAAAAGTCGTTCAGTGTAAAAATCAATTTAAGGGGGGGTAACATACAATTTTACACACGATCGGACCCAAATTTCCGAGTGCAAAAAAACCCGTGTAAAAGCCGAAGTGTAAATTTACAAGTCACCATGCCACCAATAGAATTTTACACGTGAACTTTTTACACGACACATCCAGTGTAAACAGATCATGTGTCAAATTGTAAAAACAGGGGCCTAAGTATAATTTTGCCCTTTGCGCACTTTACACTTAATATTGGACGTAAAGCGTTGGAATGCATAATTGCAACCTACCCCCACCAAAGTACAATTTTGCACCAAACACATTACACACATACATTTCCGATCGGCAACCCATCTCACCGGTAGTAGAGCCCTCGGCTCCCTCGGTGTCTCTTGCTGAGCCTATCTTTCCATCTTTCCCTACCGCCTGGCTCAATGCCGGCATCTAACTCACTCACGTCACCAAAGCGATCCATCAGAAAACCACCCCAATTTTGCCCAGCCACCTTGCCGAGCCTCGCTGCTACCTGCCCTACCTCCTCCCTGCCAAACTCCAACACCATCGTACCTTTTGGCCAACTTCACGCTCCCTTTGTTACCTCCATAAAGGTCTCGTCCTGATCAATGTCAATCGACCTTACTTGACTCTCGTCTCGAGCTAACTTCAAGTCTCATCTTGAGCTAACTTCATTTACCAGAATAAAGCAGGATGGCGCTTCTCATCCTGCGTATACCTCCTGGACACCAGCAGAATGGCCTTCAACCAAATCGAAATGGGGTCATGTCTCCTTTATACTCTTCTCCTTTATACTCTTCGCAATTGAAATCATACAATCAAGAGTCCTGTGTCCTCAGTCTTCTCTATCAACTCTACCAATTTCAATTCATTTTCAGAGGGGACGTGTTCTTTCTCTATAATTTTTTCCAATGGTTCAAACTTTACCAATTATACCAACCCTTTCAAACGTTACCTACCTCGGTGTTATCATCTGATTGTCTTGCCATGTCTGATTGTGACTACACAAGCTCTTCCGACGACTGCCACGGGCCTGAACTCGATTATCTCCAAACTCAGACTGACGCGACTTCGATTGTACCCTTCGCCGCGACTCAAACTGCCTCTGAAGCCAATCATCTGTTCTTGCACCCAGCTCAGATCAACACGACTTCAACATCAATTGTGCCTTTTGTCGCTAATCAGCTGTCAGCTAATGTTCAACCTCACTCACCCCAGGCTGAGAAGAAAAAGAAGAGACGTGACCGACCAAAGAAGACCGGAAAGAAGTTTAAGATCCCTGTCCCGGCCACCGGTGAACTCCAGACTTACAATGACCACGGTTCCAAATGCGACGGACAAGGTTATCCGAGCTACCCAAATGGCAATACTGTATTTGTTCGAACCACCGACATGATCGATTACATTACTAACTTTGGCTTCATTGCGTATCCTCACACGCAAAAGTCTCAAGGCTCCAAGAATGGACCGTGGAAAACGACTTGGTACACCTGCCTGGGTGTACTGCACTGCCACGACAACTATTGCAATTACGCAGCGCCCCCACTGACTGCCAATGGCAAGGCTGCTGAGATGATCAAATTGTAAGTGAGGTCTTTCTTTACATCTCATTGGCAGTCTTGCGTTCATATAAGATGTTCAATCGACTTACTTTTTCTCCTTCTTAACGACGTATCTAGGCACCCGATCTGCCCAGCCGTTGAATGTAATGGAAACCATGTTTGGACTCGATGTACCACCACGAACTGCCGAGTCAATGTTGAGAAGTCTACGGGATGGGCCGTCCTTTGCCACTCCGGCAGTCACAACCATGTGTGGCCCGCTCCTAAGAAAGCTGACCCGTTGGCCATGCTCAAGCTCACTGACGAGTTAGTGAAAAACCCAAAGGCCGGCCCTTTGATGCTGAAGGCAAGTGTGGTTTTTTCTCTTTCATTCATCACACGCTTCTTGCAGACTCTGACTTCTGGTCTGTCTTTCGTCTTTCCAGGTCGGTCAGGCAGGAGCAGGCCAAACCATTACTGCACCTCCTGTAATCGACATCCACCCTGCGTTTTCGAATGGAGGTAGACTCGGCTACCTGTGTCGCAAAGTGTTGGTAGAGAAGGGCCTCATGCCCGAGAAAGAAAGTCTTGGAGGTGGAGACCGCCTGATCATGAATCCCATGCACTGGGGGCGGTAAATGACTCTTTCTATCTAATCTTCGCTTGTACCGCGCCCTGACTGATGATTCACCTTTATGTTCTATATTTCAGGAATGGCCTCAGACTCATATTGACTTCACTGTTAGGCGCCGACGTCCACATCACGTTTCAAAGCAAGTGGATGGCTGAACAGCTCGTCCGACACGATCAGAATGGCAAGACTTACTCTGGAGGGTTGCTATCTGACGTTACTTACAGATTTTTCCACAATGGCTACCTCCTGACGACTTCTATGTACAGTGATCTCATGACACGATGGATCCCCATCCAGCTCAAGTGGATATGGGGGCTTGAGACGAACCACTACCGAGCTCATTTCACAACTCTCCTCAAGCAGATCAAGAACGCGGACCTGACCCACCACGAGAGGGAGCTATTAGGCCAACACGTGGTGGATTTTTCGACAGCGCAAAAGAAAGGCTTCATCGCGGCTTACATGGAAGTCTTCAACGAGGTAGACCAGGGGAAGGCTTTGGACAAATTGAAAGGAGGCCATGAACATTATCGAAAATCTATTACTCGGATCGAAAAAAAATTGTAATGTTGTTGATGCGGCTCAAGTGGTCAGTTTCTTCCTCTCTGCCACGGCAGGACTAGGACTGCAATTGATACTGCCTTGCTTCCATTCTGTTGTAGGGTTACTTTGAACAATTGGCCATGGACCTCCTTGAGCCAAACAAACCGGACGGCATGACTTTAGGCAACAAGTTTGATCAGCTCGGTCGTCTGTTTCCTAAAGCGAAGGCCTGGCTGGACTGGTGGAACACCAGTGACATCCACTCTATGCTCTTTTGTGCTCGACCTCGCCTGCCCCTAGACAATCCCCCAAACCCAGCGGATCCCAATGGCAAACAAGAGCTCCCTGACACGACCAATGCCCAGGAGTCTATGCATAGGCAGTACTACATATTATCGTGAGCTTTATTTCTCTTTAACAACCTTTTTTTGACTCTTGTACACTCCTGATGAATGTGGGCAGTTTGGGCCACTGCACTATAGTTCAAGGTTTTGTCCAACTGCTCCTATTTGTCGAATCACTCAACAAGGATTTCAACCAGCTGCGTCGTGGCATACCAGTGAAGTATGGTTCTAGTTGGGAGTTGGTGGTGGAAACCTTGGGCTGGTCGAAGGAACGCACCCTGCTTCGCCCACAGGTCAATGACGAACGACCTCCCGACACTACCGACTCACTCATTTGTCCAAAGAAGCTTGGCCGCCCTGTTGGTTCTGGAAATGTGAATTGTGACCCCCATTCATCGTATCAATCTTATTCAGCAAGTAGCCAGCCAGGAAAGCAAAACCGCTGCTGGGAAACCGCCACGCTCGAGTCTTTCCTGCCCACCTTTGGACCCTTGTGGATTGAAGGATCCAAGGGTAAGAGTAAGGATATTGTATCCAAACTCATTTGACATTATTCTTCGTGTCTTTCGGCCGAGATGCATCAGACTGCCCACCTGAAGTCCGTATTGTCCCGAGGACTCAAGTCTCTTCAATCTGGGGTTCAACTACTATCACCTGCTTCATTTGTCACCGATATGTTCTGCTCTGCCGATGGGTTCATTGAGCACCTGCTTGTCCGACGTAATCGACCGACTTTGGCAGGTCGCCTGTTTGCCTTCAACGTTCAACGTGACTATCAATGCGTGCAATTTCCTTCACATCAAGAATCAGAAACCGTTGAACAAACAACTGTGGTCCTTACTGTTGATCTATTTCATGACACAAACTTACAATACTGCAATGTCTCAACGCTGGTTTCGCTCTGGCAGAGCGAGGGCTTATTCTCCACCAATCCTTGATGTTGCCCAACGTGCTTAACTGTCCACCGTCAACAGCAAGCACCATCTACCCTACCAAATCGCTTGGAAGACGATATGGACGTCATGGTTCTGACTGTTGATCCTACTGGTGATGTCCCGCGGTTGTACAAACGATCTCGTTTGGATTTCACCAAAAATCCTCCGCACGTTTATTTCCACTTAGGCGGGGTAGCTGGCCTTTCACATGAAGACAGGGCAAGTTTCATGAATGACATGAACCGGCCTGAAACTTTGACGCTTAACAACATCGAGTACCACATTGTTTCGCGTGGGTTTTGGGCATACAATCATTATTGGTGCAAACTGGTCCGACATCTTGATGGGGCACGTGGGGTGTGGTTTTTTGACGATCGCAAGGATGACGGAAGGGCACAGCTACTAGGCCGGGACATGAGCTTGATATCGGGGGCTCAACCATCGACCAGTTGGTTGATCTACTCGCGCAAGCCCACAACTGAAGAACAGAAGACCATCGACTTGGGCATAGCCAAAATTATCAAGAAAAACCCTGATCCTCTTGGTGATGTACCTTTTGTTAGAGCAACAGACTTAGATGGACTTGAAAAGCAAATCCTTGAAGACTCTCCTGTGACCGACGGGTTTGGAACGGTGGCCGCGGCCACCATTATTAGCAGTCAGAATCAGGCAAGGGTAGCCTTTACATTGGCTACAGGTAAGTCACATTTTGAAACTTTTATTAACCATAGTAACGGTCATTGATTTTCAATACCTTCCTTGGCTCAGCAGTTAGGATTGAACCGGCTAATTCCCAAGCGGACGTGCCTGATGCGTTGTCTCACACCAATCAACCGACTCCGATGTTGGATCACAACGGTAGGTCTTTCTGGCTTCACGTTTCTGCTTGGTAATGTTACTGACCTCCTTCTTTGGTTATCCAGGGTCCACTAAAACGGAGTCGACTCCCACTGAACCCGTAATCAAGCAGGTTGGCCTGTGTGTTTGTCTTAAGCGACTGGCACCACCATTGGAGAGCCCAAACGCAACGGTGCTCGCTCCTCCTCCAGAAGTCAGTGTAGGGAAGAAACCCACGATTAGAGGGAAACCTAAGGCTAAGGCGAAGGGCAGGGGAGGGAAGAAAAAATAGGATATGGTTTTAGCTTTCTGAATATGAATACATGTGTCTCTAATTTTCTGTTTTTTTTATCTTCGTCCTACTGTGGCCATGATCGTGAGGGTAAGCACAGGAGCCATTTACTCTTTTACTCCTCTCTCTCTCATTTGGTTTGTTGTATCTGCTGTGTTGTGAGTTAAGTGGGAGCCTGGTTGATGAAATATAACTTGGCAATTAAGTGGTGGACTACGGTACGGTGTTGTGCCCCCACGGAGAACACACAAATGAGTACGGCTTCAACGCCTGGAGTTTTAAATGACATTGAACACTCTTTGTGTTGCGCGCAAAGAGTAAGAGCGCGTAAGCAAAAAGGTGGTCATCATAAGTTTGTGGTTTTATTACAAGTCAAAAAAAAAATTGCACGTTTCGTGATGTGTAAAATTATAAATACGGGGGGGTTTTCGATTTTGGCACCCCAGTTTATTGCACTTCTTTTGGAGTGTAAATGTTTGGAGTGCAAAATTGAATGTATGGCCCCGCAGATAGAACTTTGCACGGGAAAATTTTACACTCGAAATGGAGTGCGAAAAGGTACGGTGTAAAATTCTAAGTGAGCCATGGTGATTTACAAATTTGCACTCTGGCTTTTACACAGCTTTATTTGCACTTCAGGATTTGGAAGTGTTCAAGTGTAAAATTGTATCTGACCCCCCCTCAATTAGAAATTTACACTCGACGTATTTTGCACTCAATATTCAGCGTAAAACGTCCAGTGTAAAATTCACTTAACCCATTTTTAAGCACCGGTAAAACCCCTCTGGTTGTGTCAGGGGAAAGGTTGCTGTTGGCTGTATGTGGGGATCCCACTTAATTTAAAAGAGTCCCTCTTGTGGCACTAGTCATTGTTTTTTAGCTTGAGAACTCCACCGCTTAAGTCCTCTGAAGTTGTTTTTTGCATATTCCGGATTTGCTCCTCTATAAATCCAACTGTCTGTCATTATTAATGTTGTTCAGTCTCATCTTCTACATGTGTTGAGCCCTTCCTGATCCCAAGAAAAATGCCCCGAAAGTCTTTTCATGAGCTCATTTTTCAAGTGCTTATGTTGGACTTGTAAGTGGAGTTACAGCCTGTATTCACACTGTAATGATTTGGAGGAGCTAACACCGCGGTGATTATTAAGCTCAAACCCCAATTGAGCAGAATTGTGGTGTCTGAGTCCACAACTTGTCTCAATTGCGGATCTACTTCACATTAGAGCATCCACACTCGTTTGTGGTTGTTAACTTGCTCACACGCGGTAACAACTGCTACATTAAGTAAAAAATTACTTAACTCAAGCAAATTTCACACTCGTGTCAAATTACTTGCACAGTAGTTAACTTAACTTGGAGGATAATGTGAGTTTCTGCACTGGTACAAAGTTTACAAGCTCAAATTCTCAAGCACCCTCCAATTTGCACAATCCACCACCAATCCACTTGAATTCCTTCAATAAACTGCAATGGCAAAGAACACATCCTTCTCAAGCCACCTTGAGAGAGCACAAGAGTTCATTCAAATCAACTTGTGATCTCATCACAGCTGGATGGCTGGCACCCAGAGGTTTGTAAAGAAGAAATAAGAAATGTGTTTCATCAAGATTGTTTGACATAGTTCCACCCTAAGCTTGAATGAGACAGAGAATTTGATTTGAACTCCTTTTAAAATCAATCCGAGCAATAAGAGATCTTTGAAATATTTCTAAAATTGATCCAAACAATGAAAAATTGATCTAAATCAATCCAAACCCCTTCTATAGCCAATCAAGAAGAATTGATCTTGATCGATTTAAAATATCAACAAACTGACCTTGATTGATCTAAAATGTCTTCAAAAATTGACCTGGATTGACCTACTGAGATGCAAAACAAAAAGATTGAATATAAATTGATTTTAAAGAAAAAGGTTTTAAGTAGATTTGAATTTGAGATTGGTTCAAAGTTTGATTTGAATCAAAATGATTATGAAGAAGATCTTGAGGTTGGTAAGATTTGGAATCGGAATTGGAAATATGGAAGAAGGAGTAGGACTGACTTGGTGGGGAGAACAATCTCAATATGGCATAAAGGATACTCCTGAATTGTGGGCCGCCCTTGATTCTTGATGCAGATGTTGTGAGTTGAGAGAAGTCAAGTTAGTGTTGAGTCAAGATTGCAAGTTGGTGTGCTTGAAAAGTTAATGACGGGCTAGCGAGTTGGATAACGCATGCGTTAGTCAATTGGTTAATTTACCGATTGGCTAACACAAATTGATCAAAAATTAATTACCGCGGGGCTAATTTCTCACCAGTGTGGGAAAGGCCTCGAATTTGCGTTAAATTTTACCTTACCGCACCTGAGTTATGAATGTTTTTGGAGTCTGGGAACACAGGACTGATAAACAGTGCAACAGCACAAGTGAGCAACTTGAGTATAACAAACTAGTCTATCTAAGACTTCTGACCTGGAAGACGGTACAGAATTTCAAGTAGACAATGTTAGTTAGAGCTATTGGCTATTAGATAGCAATCTTAGGAACTTGAGAACAATAGTTTTCTCTTTCCAAAGATAATTGTATTCACCTGATAAACAGTGCAACAGCACAAGTGAGCAACTTGAGTATAACAAACTAGTCTATCTAAGACTTCTGACCTATAACAATGTTTAGAGAAAGAGTTAGGTAAAACAAAATGTAAAGTATGAAGTAGTAAGAGTAAAGTACCTGGAAGACGGTACAGAATTTCAAGTAGACAATGTTAGTTAGAGCTATCGGCTATTAGATAGCAATCTTAGGAACTTGAGAACAATAGTTCTAACACAATCATTACAAAAGAATAATAGCACCTTGTTAACTTCGATAAAAGAAATGATAATAAAATAGTGAAAATTACGTACTTCTCTTTCCAAAGATGGGAAAGAGAAGTATCTGGGGATTGAAACAACATATATATAACTGGTAAACTTGTTTGCTATTTGAGACTCTTTGGGGTAATGTTAATGCTGACCTTTCTTGTCTGAGACGTAACTTGAGGTTTGTCTACTCTTTGATCTTATTGCATGTATAACTCTTTTCATCTTCTCTTCAAGTTCATTGCAGACTTCAACATGAGTTAATGCACAAGTGTGGATGCTCTTACATTCACAACTGTCCCTTGGGTTTCTCAGATAACCCTTTGTCAAGAGACATATACATACAAAGGCCCCTTTCAGACCGTCAAGTGTTTTTCATATTACATTCCCTGTCCTCTCTCTTTATTCTTGCCATAGACTTGCCTTCAAGAATGTATGGCAAATCTAGATTTGATGACTGTGGCATCTTTAAATCCAATGGAGTCAGGATTGAGAAGGGTGAAGCCTGACCCGTCAGCCCACATGATTACAGCTTGAGGGAAACTTGTGAACTAGATCCACAATTCAGACAAGTTGCGGACTTGGACACCGCAATTCCGCTCAATCGGGGTTTGAACTGAATAATTCCTGTGGTGTAACTATGTCAGAAAGTCACAATACAGGCAGCTGTTGTACAATTATACCAAGTACTTGGTAGAACACACCACCCACATTCCCCAAGTTATGAGGCTATGAGGATGTGTAGAAGATGATACCATGAACAACATTAATAATGACCAACAGTTGGATATATAAAGGAGTGAAGTGGGAAAATGCAAAAAACAACTTAAGAGGACTTAAGCAGTGGAGTATTTATCTGCAGACTCCAAGGGAATCCACAAGAGGGACTTTGTGAAGTTGAGTATCCCACCATTTATTGCCTAGTTTCCGATTCCCATCACCCTATATTGGGTCAGACACCAGGCACAATGTTAAATACAGCCCGGTTTAACTAAAAAGAGGGCAACCACATCATTGATTTTGATTTCCTCATCTTTCAATGAAAGAAAGGTTACCCACTCAATTGTCAATCATCAGGGCAGTGGCTCACACACACATGATGCATAGCATAACCTCGGTTTAATTAAAAATCAAGTGCATAGAAGGCATACAACAGCATAATTGAGATTGCTGAGTTAAGTTCAAAGAGGAAATGAAAATTCAACAGATGAAAATATACACAATAGTACACTTACACAGAGAGAATAGGACACAGAACACATACCACAAACAACATAATTGACTAGAAAAATTTATGATGGTAGATAAGCTTTCCGTTGATAATGGTTGCCGCTGGTTCTGGGTGCCTTCTTTGTTGTATGCTGTCAGGCTTGTGTTTCCTAAGTAGCAAAACGTGAAACACTGGGTGTACACCTCTCATAGAAGCAGGTAACATTAGTTTATAAGCGGAGCGTGAAATTTTTTGAATGATACTAAAAGGACCCATCTATTTAAAGTCCAATTTTGAGCTTGGTCTAGTTGTTGACAGGTCCCGGCTGTTAAGCCACACTTGATCGCCCATGTTCCACTCTGGTGTTGACCTAATTCCTTTGTCAAATTGTAGCTTCATCTCCTCTTGTGCTAAATTCAAATTCTCTGTTAGTTCAGACTGTACTTCAGCTAACCGCTTCAATCTTTCATCTACGCTTGGTACACATTGTTCTGTAAGAGGTACTCCACCAAAATTTGGGTTAAATCCATAGTTTGCCTTAAAAGGTGACACTCCGGTCGCTGCGGGATCTCTGTTGTTGTATGAAAACTCGGCAATTGGTAATAATGCTTCCCAGTCGTCCTGGCAATAGTTGACAAATTGACGCAAGTACTGCTTGATAGCCTTATTGACGATTTCCGTCTGACCGTCGGTGCGCGGGTGGAAAGCTGTGAATGGATGCAAACGGATACCTAATTGCTTATCTAATTCTTTTGTGATCTGAGAAATGAAAATACTTCCTCTATCCAAAGTAATTGTTTTAGGAGTCCCGTGTAGTCTCCACACAAACTTCACCATCAAGTCTGCCAGTTTGTCCGCCGTCATTGACTCGTTACATGGGATGAAATGGCCCATTTTTGTCAGGCGATCTACTACTGTGAGCACACTGTCTTTGCCGTTAGATGCTGGTAATTTGGTGATAGTCATCAATCATTGCAAGAATTCAACATCAAGTTTCCAAATGCAGCAAAAAATTACAAAAGGAAAAGGAGTAAGTGAGAGGGCAAGCTTTTTCCCACTGGGTTTTTTAATGCTGCCCGTGGAAGGAATGCAGAGCTTGCAAAAGGGAGCTTGGGCATAAAATGGGGGATAATGTTATGATCTCATAACGGGTGAACTACTTGTGAAAGGAGTTACATTACATGTCACAGATCAGATAGAAGAAGTTGTACACGTCACAGTTGTAGATCTTTCCTCTTCTTCTTTATCCGACAATCTATATAGAAGACTCAGACCTCAGCCACCAGAACCTCAATCCCCGTTGCTGAACCCCGTGATCTAGCCTTAACAGTTATATGTTACAAGTTAGTCTTTGAGTACATATATATGTACTCAGGGCTGACAGTCATAAGCACTGGCAATGACAAAGCCTAAGTTAGGCATGCGTAACCAGTACTCCATAGTACATATGCACTCCTGGTGTTGAAGTCAAGCCAGCAGATCCACAATGACTTTGGTTGTGTAGAATTTGGTAGCACATCTTGTTGGCCTTCCAGTCTCAATTGTTGTCAATAGAAGCTCTTTGTGATCAGTCCTGTGGGCCATGACTTCTTCAAGAAATTTACTACAAATTGATATGTATGATTCCTCATTGGAAATATTGAGTGCTGCAGCTATCACATAGTAACCACAGTTGCCATATGCAGGTGGATTGAATACAGACTTTACAAATTGAACAATTATGCTTGGCAGTTGGTTTAACACAAGTTGTTTGTCAGGTGATGTCAGGGTATGTTTTGCACTCGCAGATGATTTGATTGAATGTTGAGCCTTTTGAAGTTTCTTTTTTGTTTTTCTCACACAGATACAGGTTTCAGCTTCATTGGGAAGGGGAAAGACAGCTGCTCCAAAAGTGCAACTAGATTCCAGACTAGCTTGTACCTTGTGGGAATCTTGATCCAAGTTCAAATCTTCAGCAATTAAAGACATAGTTATTTCTGGCACAAGGACTATCACACAAACATTTGAGGAGCAAGTGGAGAGGTTTTATGAGCCTACAGAGCTTCTGCTACTACTTGAGCATGCTTGTACTGAGTCATATTTGGTGTACTAGATTCCTCCCATCAGAGATTTTACAATCTCTATGTTGCAATCTTATCATAGTAGTCTGGCACCCTTTCTCTTGACTCTCGATCAGCCTCTGTCTCACTCCTAACAGGAGGCCCTTGAAGAGGTGAGATGGGACTTGGAGGTGATCTTGTTGATGAATAGCAACTCCAGTGTCCTTATTATGATCTCATAACCTTGATAACCTGAACTGGAACAAGAAACACATAAGTCAGCAACCTGTGGAGGCGCAATCATGTTGTGATAGATGTAAAACTCACTATACTGGTAGTTCCACCTCAGAATTGGCCATTTGCACATCAATTCAATTCACGTGTGTGCCATTTCACAACAATAGTCTTACAAGTGTATGGCCACTTAGTTTACTAAATCAATTGGACTTACTCTGGTAACAGCTGGTAATCCTTTGAAATTGATTTTGATTGGCCATCCTTTGCTGACACCAAGGCTTCCAATATACTATACTATGTTATACTGCACTATACTATACTGAACTATATATAAAGGGTACTCAAAGTAAGTATGTACATGTACATACTTTTTGCTATATAATTTTTTTGGCGGGGAAGACAAGGCCAAAAGTATATTTTTTTATTTTTCCCCACCAAAGAAAGTATGTAGCAAAAAGTATGTAGCGCTACATACTTTACTTTGAGTACCCTTATACTATACTGCATCTAAACTATATTTGGTATAGTATAGTTCTGAGCATAGTATAGTATACTTGAAATATATTCAGTATAGCTTAAATATACTGAAGTATAGTCAGTTTTTTTTTGAAAACTTGTATAGGCATCTTTCAGGATATTTGGTAAATCCAAGTATACTGGGTATATTTTTCAGTATAGTATAATATACTAGTATGTATAGTATAGTGGCAGCCTTTCTGACACCCAAAGGAATGATGTCTGTCTCCAAAAACTTGAGATCTGAGGGTGTGTGTAGATTTTGGGCCTCAATCAATACCCCTCAAATAATCAAGGGCTTGGTGGCAGCAACTATACTCACGGAGGTTCTGACTATTTCTAAATGAACTTGGCTGAAGCAGGACCCCGGGACAGGAAAAAATAATTCATCACACATGAGATTTATAGATCACAAACACAAAGCTTTTGGATATTATAAATTGATCGCATTATAAAGACATCTAATTACCCCAACCCATCAGCAATACCTCCAAATCGGATAAATAAGTACATCAGGTGGTATGCAGTCATCTGACTGCTGATGAAAGATTCCAAAAGAGATATTAAGTAGTTTGACATTTTAACACAGATAAACACGCGAATCCTGATTCACGAAGGTAAACGCTCCCGGAGGTTATAAGACCTTAATCTCAAAGAGGGTAGAGTAAATGTGTACCTATTGTGACACTTATGATTATGCTGATGACCTGCATCATTGAACCACTCATTCGCGGTCTTGAAACAGCACCTGTGCTAGTTCTTTCATTCTGTGGCAGGTTTATAAATTAGTATAACGTTTCAAGCATATTTAGCTCAGAAAAGACACATGACAGTCAGTTTGCAGGGTGTGATGTTGCTTACCGGTATTATGATAGGATCATTCTGAGGGGAATCTGTTGTTGGTTTGGGAGGCTCTGGCTGAGGATTTTCTGGCAGACTGGGTTTTAGCTCAGGTGGTGCTGATTCAGGATTAGGCTGGGGTAGCGCAGAATTCGAAATGTCTGGCCAAGGTTCCTTTTCAGGTATGCTTGGAGTAGATTTGATTGGAGGTGATTCTTTGACGATGTCTGAAAGATATGAATTCACGTTTGTATCGTCAGTACAAGCAACCAACTCTCTATAATGAGAAGTGACATATAACCTTTAGAAGGTGGTGGGTTTTTCGTTGACCCCTTGTCTTTTTCAGAGGTATTTTCTTTCTCCTTGACCTGGGGTTTCTCTGAATCCTCTTTTGTCTGCTTTATAGCCGACCAGTGAAAAATTTGGTATATCAGTTGATTGATCTCGTCAGAATTTCTCCCGGCATATTATTTGATACTATGAGATGGATGACCACTTACAGATGATGGAATGCCTTTTGTACTGTCAATTTTGCCAAGGGGTGGCGTATTTTTCTTGTCGATCTCCGGCTGGCTTATGGTTTTACTCTCTGGAAGAAATGAAAATGTGCGATGACAAAAAAATTAACGACAGTTGGACTTGAGCTGTCTTGAGGGAAATCTTTACCGGGTGTAGTTGGTTTCTTGGTATCAACGGCATTGACAATTTTGTTTGCTGGTATCTTTGGCTTGGTATCGCCAGCCTTGACGATTTCTGATTTACGAAGAACTCAGAATTAAAATCTTGGCTTAAGAAAATTCAAGGAATCACTGACCGTGCTTTTCCTCCTTTTGAGGTGGATTATCAGGTGCGCCGAGTACTGATGAAATAGGTACTAAGAAAGCAGGCCGGTTTGGGCGGATCAGAATTTGTTGAAGAGAGAAAAAACTCCAAAAAGAGACACTAACCTGACGGGGACGTGGTTTTATTCTTTGTATCCTTGGAATTCCTCTGTCTTTCTTTGGTTTTAACCGGTTCTTGAGATTTGACATCTGTTTTTTCCACTTCCGGCGATGACTTTGGTTCTGGTAAGTCGAATCCTGGAGGTGTCTTTGGTTCTGGGGTGTCGACTTCCGGCGGTGTCTTTGTTTCTGGTGTGTCGACTTCCGGCGGTGTCTTTGGTCCTGGTAAGTCGAATCCCGGCGGTGTCTTTAGTTCTGGTGTGTCGACTTCCGGTGGTGTCTTTGATTCTGGGGTGTCGACTTTGGGCGGTGTCTTTGGTGCAGGTATGTCGACTTCCGGTGGCGTCTTTGAGTCTGGTGTGTCGAGTTTGGGCGGTGTTTTTGGTCCTGGAAGAGGCTGAGGTGTTTCGATCACGTTTTACAAATCCGATGTTAGGAGGTTGGCCATCTCAACATGCTTACGAGGAGTACAAACTCTACTCACCTTATTTGAGCTCGTATCAGGATTTTGACCTTTGATGCCTTCAAAGTCGAGGACTAATTGAGCGTCTGGGTACTCTCCTTTTTCAGCTAGAATATCATAAAGCTCACCAGTATCAATTGGCGGAGCATGATCATTTTTATCTTCATTGCTTGTGTTAGAGGTTTTCTTCTTGCTGCACCTGCATTTGCCTGCTTTTCGGCAACGTGAGTTCCCAGGCTTCCCGTTGAAAACCCCTTGGATCACGTCGTTGAAAAAATCATCGAAGCCCGGAATGTCATTGCCAAACCTTGATTTTGGTATGTTGGGGCTTCCATCTGGGGAACCTCCAGAAATTTTGCTTGTTTTGCATTTCCCATTCACACATATCGTCTCCGAACCTGATACCACGGGGTTCTGGTCATGCAATCCTCATGGATATTTCAGCAGGGATTCGCTTATCATGTTTTGTAATACGATAGAAATCACAAACCTGCTGTCCCGGAGGTCCACTTTCCGGAGGTCCACTTTCCGGAGGTCCACTTTCCGGAGGTCCTTTTGCCGGAGGTCCTTTTTCCGGAGGTCCTTTTTCCGGAGGTCCTTTTTCCGGAGGTCCTTTTTCTGGAGGTCCATTTTCTGGAGGTCCTTTTTCTGGAGGTCCATTTTCTGGGGGTCCATATTCTGGAGGTCCATTTTCTGGAGGTCCATTTTCTGGAGGTCCAAAGTCTGGAGGTCCAAAGCCTGGAGGTCCAAAGCCTGGAGGTCCAAAGCCTGGGGGTCCACTTCCCGGAGGTCCTTTTTTTGGAGGTCCTTTTTTTGGAGGTTTTTTTTCTGGAGGTCCGAAGCCTGGAGGTCCCATTCCCGGAGGTCCAAAGCCAGGGGGGGCACTTCCTGGAGGTCCAAATCCCGGAGGTCCAAAGCCTGGGGGTCCACTTCCTGGAGGTCCAAAGCCTGGGGGTCCAAATCCACCACCCGCTCCACCCTTATGGTGTCCCCCGGACATCTGAGGTGGCCCCCCGCCGCTTCCCCCGCCGCTACCGTGACATGGGAACGTCGGAGTATTGGCTACCAGTGGGATATTGAGTATTATACAATACACCAATCCAACATAGATGAGTTGTTGTTTGCAGGGCAACCACGTCATGGTCACCTGTGGGAGCCCAGTAGCAGGCTGATATGGAGCTTTCGTTGAGCAAGTCGGTGTGTCTGGTGAGGTGCTAGAAGATAGATGAAAGTTATCAGGGAGAGAATGAAATAGTGGTGATGCACAATTGGTGAAAGACTCGGTGGGAGTTTTGGGATCTAGTAAGATGAATCCACCTGATAGCGTTGGGAAGGTTCGATGCAGAAAGGAAATCCACTCTTGATGATCACCCCGTGTTGTAACTTCACATCGACATTAAATTTGCACTCATTCATCCCCCAATGTTTCTACTGATCGCTTTTCATAAATCGGATGCAATCACTTACCATCAGCATGGAAATGGAGCAACCACGTTGTCTCATCCTTGGCATTCATCAAGTTCCCTCACATCCCAGCGAGAGCACGGCCGTCCCTAGCAGTTGTTGCCTAGACGTGATGTCTACGAAGAGAAAAACAATATCAGTCGATCATCAGCGAGATTTTTTCCGCCGGGGACTACCACATGGCTTTCTTCCCATGGGCGTCAAGACCTTACCAGTAGCCATTATTACCTGCGATCGGCTCGCAAGGTCATTGTATACATTCATGGCAACCGAGGTCACCTTCGGAGTAAAAGACTTGACCCCCTCAAGCAACGCTGAGTAATTCATGATATGTTGGACTTCAGAAAGAGATAATGAAGTTTGATCAAACCTCAAAGGTTAATACCACTGAAAACCCGAGAATACAGTCTTTGCTGTGTCTAGATCCAGTTGAAAACTGAAATTTCAACTTTTTCATTCTTCTTGATGTCCAACATTTAACGAGATAGCTGTCATGCGCTTGTAAGCTTATCATCTGTTTTCTCTTTTCTTTCTGTCGCAAGACCATTCAAAATTCACAAGTGCTGGCAGGTACATTAAGGCAAACCTAGACAGATTCGAAAGTCCCCTGGGGATCACTCCCAAACAATGTCACCCGAGCCTTATATCAACTATGTAATCATAGGCAAAGGTTGACTTCGACAGGATGATAACATGACATATCAAAGCCAGCAGCATGAGCATAGATACGTATGTCTACTGATCAATCTGATATTTAGTATACTGGTTTTAGTTTGAAGATGCCATGGATAGGATTGCACACTTGAGTAAAAACGTTGATTGTAAATAAGTACTGGACAGCGCAGTTGGGTGGGTGGGTTACTGTACAGAAAACCAATGGGCTATACATTTTCGATAGGACATGCAGAACATAGGGACTTCCTGTAAAGTGATACGCTGTAGTGCGGATAAGCCATGGAGGAAAGTATATAGACCCAACAAGTTAGAGTGTGGAGCGATTGCAGTCGACAGAGACAGTTCCGCTGATGTCAGAATTTTTATGACGATGGATTTTGATTAAGCTTTCCACATCTTCTTGATCAACTCTGTGAGGCCTATAAGTCAAAAGATGATATTGACGAAAGTTCAATCAATCCACTCTATCTGGCGAAGCTTGGACTGTTCTTGTAGTCATGTACGTACCAATGTCGTGCGTGTTGAATTGATACACACCAACGAGGACACCGCATGTGAGTGCTCGGACAGTCCAACGAGCGATCGGGCCAATCCGAGGAAACTTGCGATCATGAAGATAATCGATCAAGATTTGGTCGAACCCCTAAGATCATTTAACTTCAGCCTTGGGCCGGGGGTATGTTTCCAAACCTTACTCACGAGATGTGAATGCATGATCAAAGCTACTCCAAGAACCCCATCCAGTAGTGGATTCGGGCTGGCTATGGCAGTAGCTGCGGTGACGGGCACCAATGCAGCGGATAGTGACCTTTCGAAAGTCCAGTGAATTGAACCATGTGCTTTATTGGGCGGAGGAAATGATGTAGGATCGTTTATTGTCCCTTTGACATAGGCTTATCGATGGTACGGGTACGTCAGTGGCCGAGCAATGGATCCAGCCCACGTCCTCGAAAAAAATTGGCTACATACGAGCGTCTACTGAGACTGCAGCACGGAGCGCAGGAGTCGCCTGAGCTTTGGATGCTCCAACTTCATGATGAACAAAAGATCAGCGTCAAGATATCGAACCGCAACTGAATGAGAAGTCGAGACCTACCTGTGGAAAATGCGAATTGAGGCGCCAGAAATCGGTTCTGCGAGTTGAAAATCTTGAAAGCTGAAGTCAAGTTTCGCTGAACCAAGTGAGAAGCCATGTTGTTGGTTGAGAAGTTGATTGAATTGGGAGACGAAGTAAGGTGTGTGGGTTTTAGAGAGTGCTAGCTGCCAAGTGGTGATGTCAGATTTGCACCAATCAGCTGTATCGGGTAACGGGTTGCATGCGGGAGTTACATATGGTTTACATACAAAAAGTTTAAAACAGGCAGCCGCAGCAAAGAAATTCCGCGACTGCCCGAGAATTGATCGGCAATCAACTTCCAAGCACGGGATCTACATAGGTGATTATAACAAAAGACGCCTGGTACATTAGAGCTGATGAGTCAGTTAAGACGCAATGAAGTGATATAGAGGAGGCTATGTTAGGCATGTCTGTTGAATTGCTCTTCATTCTGGTATGTCTTGAAGTAACAGAGGGGTCAAGTTGGCCAAAAATTGCCTAAAACTTCATGTACTTGGGCCTCCCAGCTTTGCAAGTTTGATTTTTGGAAAATTGCTAGGAATTTGAATTCTCATTTGGTGCTTTACAACATTTCTTTTGAATTTTGAAAATTAAAGCAGCATTTTGATGTAGAGAGGATTGCATTTTAGGTGTTTTTCCAACTTGAGATCTGCTGTCAATGTGATTATATGTTAAGCCTTTCCTTGTCCCCAATTTCTTCCCAAATTTCAATACTAGAGAATATGCAGGCATGTGAAATGTTCTTAAACATGATTAAACAAATTAAGAGTCTGTATTATAATTACTACCACTTCTCCACTCTGCCACCAGCTACACCATGTAAAACTGAACTCATTACAAGGTGTAGCTGGTCCCCTACATGAGTTTCCCATTCAAATGAAATATTTATCATGGATTATGTTGACGTATTTTGAAAATTTTGGATCAGCAGCCCAAAAACATTGAGGGGTAGTTGAGGATGTTTGTGTATTTTTATGCTACAACAATTTACCCATTTAGGGTGTTCAAACCTGTGCAAGAACTGTGCAAGACCGACATGCAAGATCCATGCAGAATCCGTGCAAGATTTTTTGCACTAATCTTGCACATTAATTTTTTTGACAACCCAAGTTGATTGTGTTCCAAACCGTGTAAACACCATGTGAGACCAACTTGCACTAATTAATTTTGAGGTTTGAACACCATAATTGTTGTAAAATATGCATAAATCCTTATGAACAACTTATCCAAATTTGTAAAAAAAAAATAAGGGGTGTTGAGTTTGATTTTTTCACAGATTTGCCTGTAATTTTTTTACATAAATTTTAGGCTTTCTGATATCCTGTCTTTGTAAAACATTTACAACACAAAATCAAAAACCTCACCTTGACTGTGTCATTCTTGGAAACAGGTGGGTTTGATAGTGGATGCAGAACAAACTCAACCTATTCAAATTACACAGCATTCAATTCTTTCTCCCTTGGCTGATTGGTTTATGCAGCATTGCCCGTTGTTTTTCTAGAGCTCAATGACAAGCCTGTCTCACAGTGCAGATGGAAATGGGCAGCGGGGTAGAGCACTGTGCGCAGAGCTGTTGCTTTGCCTCCTGGGCAGCAAGGTGTCATGTGTGTCACACTTGTTGCTGCTCAAGTCAGCCTCATATTTTGTTGAGTTATGTTAGCACTATCCCTGTTGAACTATGCTTCCAACAGCTTCTGTGTCCCATTTCTCACCACCAATTTCCCACTTCTTGATCACCTTTTCAATCACCTGTTTGGTCAACTTCCACATCCAGGTCTCCACCATTCAAAATAGGGACCCCACTATAACTTTGTTGGTATCAGGATTTTGATCAACAAGCAGTACTAGTGGTTCTGGCTCTCACCTACACCTATCACCTATAAAAGGGCACTGAAAGTGGATTCCACAATGAATTTATCACTTTCAAGGCAAGTTTGTACACTTTTTGTCTCATGTTATGTGACAGAGATTGTAGCCACAGTAAATCCAATAGTGTTGGCACCATACCCAAATAGTCAGTTATCTCATATCTCTTCTCCTTTAATGACTTCATAATGTGTTTATCAAATTAATTTTTATGTTAGTTTTTGTTTCTTTGCAGAATAAAAGTTCCCTTAATCTTGTAAAAGTGAAATGACAATCTCATCATCATGATTGAATTGAAACTCCACAGTTCCCTTTGATTGTTGTCAAGATTATCAAATCTTTTCCCAAGCTCTATAGTACTAACAAAAGGGCTGTGCTTATTGAAGAAAGACATTGTCAAGTGGTTTGGAGAATGATTATGGCAATGATTATTCAATTTCATGTAAACAGTTCAACAATGTATCTTTTTCAAATTGATTTAAACTTCATTCCAAGAAAGAAGAAAGTTCAAGAACTAGGCCGTCTTGGGCTTTGTTATTTTGGAGGCCGGCCCGGCCCGGCCCAATAGAAAGGAAAACTGTGTGTGTGTGAAATAGCAACAAGGGAATTTGGTGATTTTGGGTGCATGATACCAGTCATTGTGGCTATTAAATCTCCTTTCCTCTCCTTTTGGAGTGCCTTTGACACCTTTCTGAGCCTCTTAGCTCACCTTCTATCACCAACAACCCCTCTATTTGACCTCTTTTGGCTGGCCCATAAGCACACCACTCTGAGGGAAAAGGGCTGAGCCGGCCCAAAACCAGGCCTGCTTAGGTGGTCCTGAGGCTGGGTTCAAACCCTAGCTGAAAGATGGAAAGATGAAGACCTTGAAAAAATTACAATGGGAATCAAATCCAAATTGATTGGAAAAAAATGAACTCAAATCATGGAAAGAAGCCATCCTTTCATATACTTTGACCATTGCTAAACAGTGGTTTTGAAGACACTTTGACTAATTGATCTCAATTTTTAAATGCTGAGGCACAGCTAGTGGCTCACTAAAGTACTCCTCAAATGTTTTCTAATGTATTTCTTGGTCCAACTCAAATTGTCTTGAATCTGTGAATGTAACTTGGAATTATGAGTTACAACAGGCAATCAGGACCCCACAGGAGCTCAACAGGAACACTTCTTTGTGCATTCCGGGGTCCTGAAGACTGAAAAATTGGTCCAAGTCAGATACAGAGTGCTGGAAAGCATATACATTGTTGTGATGATTGACTTATCTGATGCAAGGGGTATGTATTTAAACCTAGTGTAAAACTTGTCATTGTCATTGGGCCTTTCTGTAACATGTCACTTCTTAGAGTACATACACATGTACACTAACCAAAATTACGTGAGCGCTTTGATTGGCCGGCACGGGCAGAGACTGGGCAGTGGACTGTATGTAGATGGCACAAACGTCTCAATGGAGACCATAGCCTTAACCTAGACCTTAAGCTACTTGGACTAAGGCGACCACCACCAAATCCCGATGCATACATACACGAAATTTTGCCAGCAATTCTAAATCCTACCGTCACCAATCATCCCAGCTCGCCATAAGAAATGAGCGAAAAGCTCACGCGAATCGCCATTGTTTCGAACGATAGTAAGCTTCTTGTATCGCTATTCTCAATCATGTGAGTGCTGAACGGTTTTTGTTTTGTTGGACTAGAGTGCAAGCCTAAAAAATGTAAACAGGAATGTAAAAAGTCATGCCCGGTGGTGCGAATGGGTGAGTACGATTGCTCCAACATCATTGTTTAATATTTCACCACACTGAAGTTGAATCTGCCAGGAAAACTCTGTATCGAGGTCGATGGATCATCGAAAGTGAGTACGCACTTGGCGATCAGTTCAATTGGAATTCAGCCGTTCAACTCCCCCTTTGCTATAGATCGCGTTCATCTCAGAAGAGCTGTGTATCGGTTGCGGGATTTGTCCCAAAAAGTTCGTTTTCACTCAAGTCTCACCAAAGCTGCCACTAGAATTGACGCTTCGACTCCAGATGTCCTTTCGAAGCCATCAACGTCATCAATTTGCCTACCAATTTAGATGGTGCGGTAACTCATCGGTATTCTGCCAACGCCTTCAAATTGCATCGTTTACCCGTCCCAAGGCCCGGGCAAGTATTGGGGTTGGTAGGAACCAATGGAATTGGGAAAAGTACTGCTTTGAAAGTCTTGGCCGGCAAGCTTAAGCCGAATCTTGGCAGATTTGACGTAAGTCTGAAGATCAACGCAGAGAAAGATAGCTACAACCTTACCACAAGATCTTCTTTTAGGTGCCTCCTGACTGGCAAGAGATTCTGAAGCATTTTCGAGGTTCGGAACTTCAAAACTACTTTACCAAGATTTTAGAAGATAACTTGAAAGCCCTTATCAAACCCCAGTATGTTGACCACATTCCCAAGATGGTCAAGGGTAAGGTGGGTGAATTGCTGGATGGAAAGAATGACGCAAATAAGAAGCAGGAGATGTTGGATATCTTAGATCTCAATGACGTGGTGGACCGAGAAATTTCGCAACTCAGTGGAGGAGAACTTCAGCGATTTGCCATAGCGATGAGTTGTGTTCAGAAAGCTGACATGTCAGTTCATAGAACCGTCATTCTTAAGATTGCTTTCCTGTTATCATGTTGACCTTCTCACAAAGTTTTCCACTTCCGAATCTTTTAGTTATATGTTCGACGAACCCTCGTCCTACCTCGATGTCAAACAAAGATTGAACGCCGCTCGGACAATACGGTCACTTCTCAATCCATCTTGCTTTGTTATTTGTGTCGAACACGATTTATCAGTCCTGGACTACCTTTCAGACTTCATATGTTGTCTCTACGGACTGCCTGGAGCCTACGGAGTAGTAACGCTTCCTTTCTCCGTCCGAGAAGGTAAGCATGAAACCAGAATTTATATCTTCACAAAGGAGACTGATAGATCCGTGTCGTAGGTATCAATATCTTTCTGGACGGTATGATCCCTACAGAGAATTTGCGTTTCCGCGATGAATCACTCCATTTCAAGATCGCAGATTCAGCAGAGGACATGGTGATAGAATCTTCGCGTAGCTATCAATATCCAGGGATGACCAAAACGCAAGGCAACTTCAAGTTACACGTCAAACCGGGAAATTTCACCGATTCTGAGATTATCGTGATGTTGGGCGAGAATGGTACTGGCAAGACCACCTTTGTAAAGCTCATTGCAGACAAGATCAAACCAGACGAGGCCGACTTATCTCTACCATACAATCCAGAAAGAGTTTCACTCAAACCTCAAACTATTGCACCCAAATTTCCTGGAACTGTTCGGATGCTACTTATCAAGCAGATCAAAGAGAATTTCCTGGCTCCTCAATTCATTGCCGACGTCATCAAGCCTCTGAACATCGAAGGGTTGATGGACCAAGCAGTAACAACTTTATCTGGTGGTGAACTTCAGCGTGTTGCGTTGATCTTAGCCTTGGGCAAACCTAGAACAGATATATATCTGATTGATGAACCGAGTGCATACCTGGATTCAGAACAACGTATCATCACATCCAAAATCATCAAGCGTTATATCATGTCAGTCAAGAAGACGGCCTTCATTGTCGAGCACGATTTTGTAAGTATAATTTGCTTTTGAACTTGACTTGATACATATTGATGAGAGGATACTTCCCCGCAGATTATGTGAGCCTGTCTGAGGTCTTATGCATTTCGAACCAGTGGTAGTTTTTGACCATGTGGAATTATTGCACATCTTCAGGGCGACCTATTTGGCCGATCGTGTGATAGTCTACGACGGTAAACCATCGATCGAAGCCACAGCTCACTCGTATGTATTTTGATTTTGCATCACCATTTTGCCAATTACTGACTACATTGCTCCTACAGTCCACAGGCTCTTCTAGGAGGAATGAACAAGGTCTGCAACGCGTACTTTTAATCAGCAGTATATCAGATGGCAAGCTGACACCACTGCGAATAGTTCCTTTCTTCCTTGGAGATCACTTTCCGACGTGATCCGTCCAATTTCAGACCGCGAATCAATAAGACGGACTCCTTGAAGGACAAAGAGCAGAAAGGTAAGCTGTGCTGGTATTTCAAAAGAGGTTGACTGATTAGCTGATAGCGCATATCACTTGATCGTATCATAGCCGCGGGCTCGTATTTCTTCCTGTAAGTCATATCTATAATCCCTCTAACCCAGATTTTGGTTTCTGACTATCTCTGATTCATAATTTAAATGACAATCCAGGGGAGACTGAAGTTATGGGCCTGAATGCGTACCAACTCGGACTCGGACGCCAATTTTCCCTTGGAGAGTATCGGTTTGATTGATTTAGGTTTGATGCATCATGCCAGAGGGTCAGATATGATAGCGGAAAACTGTCACTAGAAGCTCGTCCTGTGTCTGGCTTCTCTGCGCAGGCGACATGGGAACTTGTGACCGCCGATTGTCGGCATAATGCCATTTCGAGTGTATACAGCCTCGGTCAATAGATAATGTGCATATACCAGCCATTCAATGGGCCTCATCCAGTGTAAAATCTTCATGTGACCAAATTTGCGTCAGATTGTCAATCGAGCATACGTAGTCCATGTATGAGATCATTTTCCTTCCTTCACCAGCCTGGTGTGCTTCGTCAGGAATCTAGGCAAGGCAGGATAGCCGCAGACCCTCGACTGAGGCTGAGCCTGAGCAAAGGTGTTTCATTAAGGCCCATCAATCAAGAAGAGCTAGACCTGAAAACTTTTCGATTTCTACGGCGGGATTCAATGCACGCCCTCTGCTATCACTCAATTTCCACCCCTCTTGTGCCATTTTCAGATGAAGTACAGCTGAAAATCCTGTAAAAGGGAGAGCGTGTGCTATGGCGTCACAAGTAGGCTTCTGATATCTTCAATACGAGTCGTCTGAAGCATGTTACCCCAGCAGACCATCAAAAAAGCATCTTTTGGAATGGTGTCTCGAATCTCACCGCAACTTCATGATCATTATGACTGTGCTGGAGGAATATATTCGAACTAGTCACCTTTCTTACTTGGGATCAAAAATTCGGAGATGAGAAAGTTGACGCTTGAGCTCTTATACATGAGACGCTAAGCGCGGCAACACAAGGTTACACTCGGACAATGTGACATCTTTCTCCATCTTGAGGCGATGCTGGGCGACGCGCAGTGATGACTGTGCAACAACGCTCAAAAGTCCTGCTAGGGGGTGGAATTCCAAACGCTGGCCGGGACGGGACAGACTCTAATTGTCAGCTTCAAGGAGTTTCGGAATCGTATGTGAAGGAAACAAGATCTCAATTCTATGTCATTGTGGTTTGATGATTCAATGGTTCAATGAGCGAGTTTTGATGTTCAACACCCATCAAATCTCTATATATATGAGGGTTGTCGAATTGAAAGTTCTGAGCATTTTGCGAGTGAATTGATGAGACTAGGAGGAGGAAATGATCTCGTATATGAGACGCAGATTCTACAACACCGCCAAGCTGAAGAAAAGGATCAAAACTGCCCCCACTGGATACACTTGGGGAAGACTACGAGCTTGACCCTGATGAAAACTTATGGTCAGGAAATTGGTTTATGACCATACTAGAAACATGGAGTAGATGATGGTCCAGTACTCACATTTTCTAATGAATCATCTCCCGAAGTGTCTGATGTGCTGGACGTGTTGTGTTGGTCTTGATGAGTTACATTTCCAGAGCCGGTCGCGAACGGTATAGCCTGTTCAGATATCAATGTCGTCAATATATTTTAACTCACATGTGTGCAAGCACGTTATCCCCCTCACTCACTGTACCGTTGGGTGGGCCTCCAACCCTGAAACTAGGCGCTTGCTTTTTTTCTTCCCCTGAATTAGCATTAGCAGGCTCTTCTTTAGCCAGCTGATACGGCAAGTGCGCCTTTTGGATACACAAAGGAGATACACAACGTGTCAGTGAGATGAGGAGTTTTGTGTCTATGTATATACCGTTGCGGGTTGAGTGAGGAAGGCTTACCGCTTCCTTTCGGGGTTTCTCAGTGGCAATGGTTATTGCATCGTCTGAAAGCTGTGGAGCCTGATCGGACAAGCTCTCCTTTGTGTTGTGATCTTCCGGCGCGCGGCTGAGAGAAGTGCTCAGGCTGAAACTGGATAAAATTATTAACAATGAAGAGATGAGCAAAATAGATAGCTGCATTTTTTAAGGTCTTATTTCAGTCAACTAGTAGAAAATCTTAGGACGTTGGAGATCTGGTTTGACTCAGGCTCTGGGAGTTGGAGGGGATTATATAGAATTTTTGACGACAATGACAACTGGAAAGCCTGTTCATCCCAGAGATGTGACAGCAATTCCTTTGCAATCATGCTAGCACTTCGATAAAGGCAGAAATTTCGAACGATCGACCTGAGATGATGAGTGATTCTCGCCGGCGCGCATTTGCTGGCATTTCTGTTTGAGTTGTCCAACTGGGTTCCGCGACATGAAGCACGGATTAGATTTGCGATCTGTCTAGATAGGGATCAGCCCGAGGCAAGGCTTGGCGGTAAAGTAAAAACGTCACTCGAGCCAATGAGCTTTATCACATATCGGCGCAGGTCTGGACAGAAACTGCTGATGATGGTAATAGTATTCGAGTACACTGAGAATTGGGAGGGGTCGAGTCCTGTCGAGTCTGTCGAGTCAGATGGGGAGAATTTACGAGGGAAACTTGGTCAAGAGTCAACTCACTATCTAGTATCCTTGACTCGACTCATTCCGTGCCACAATCTTCCATACATACATACTGAGACCGATCAGTCGTCGTTTTCAGAGCATGGATATCTCACCGACACAACTTGATCGCCCCAATGGAACGATCCTAAGCGTAATGCTATCTAGTGATTTGCTTCCTAATGTTCTGGCGTTTGTAACTCCCGCGACGTCAACTCGACATCAAACCTGGTTGGCCTCCCTTGCGCTTGTTCACCGTTCTTGGCGAGGTCCCGTATCGTTTGCTCTACGACAACATCCCATTCTAACATCACTGAGCCGACTGCTTCAATTCCAAGACTCACTGTGGGATTCTGGCAATGCGGTATCAAGCATCGATCGACATCGACGATTTCCAGATCACTTCGAGCCTCTCCTTCCACTTGCTAGTCCCATAGAATCATTGATCCTCGATTTCAAACCGAGCGCGTTGAGGTCAGCACAGTTTGAGAAAAGCGGTGAAGACCCCTACACCGACTCGTCCAGTTTTGACGCTCAAGAACTGAAGAAGTTACAAATGTGTAAAGATCACTTGTACTTGGATCCGACATTCTTTAATTCGCTCAGAAACTTATCATCTTTACACTTATCTTACATAAAGATCTCGATGAACTCTATCAGCTACTTGTTGGAGATTCTTTCACCCTCCTTGAGCACCATCGGTCTACACGACGTACAATTTTCTTCTCAGCTATCTCAGTCAGAATTGAGCTCTTTTGTGTTTGATCTGATCTTTTCTGTCCCGAGGTTGACGACTCTTAACCTCTCAGGATCGCTAGCAGGCATTAGTGGGATATGGGCTGTTCTTGGTATACATCCACCCTTACCTAGCACCGCTAGGCCAGACAGAACAGTTTCACCTGCGCTTCACGAGAAAACTAGCAACCTCAACGAAAGGTCGAAACTGCGTCACATTATACTTGCTGATGGCATATGCTCTAATTTTTCGCACATATCGCCACGTGAGTTGATGTCACGGTGGCAGTCAGACCTAGTTCTGGACCTACATCCTGTGGAAGACAACGTGAGTTTTCATCATTTCTTATAAGTTTGTATCACAATGGCAAGAGTTATCATCTTCATCGTTACATGGTTGAGCTCATTCACACACTCAATCAATACAAAAAAACCATAGCCAGATGAATGTCTTTCGATCCAACACAAATGTCCACAGCCTTCCCAAATCTCTCGTTACACTTTTTACACAAATGGAGAGGAGTGGCAGGACCCATATATTCAACGTGAACTCATCGATACCGCCTACAACCTCGGTATCACACTGGAAATATTCAGGTCTAATCAGGACATCATTACACGCTGCCGGCAATCATGACGAGCGATTCCATACTACATAGAACTCTTCAAACAGCGAGGCATGGGTTTTCAACGATTTCACATACACAAGAGTTTCTAAAGTGGCTTGCAACAAGATTGCCATGAAGTCACCCATCATCATAGCGAATAAGCTTGTATTTTCTGATTATATGTGACTCCAATTCAACTCATGTGATATTTCAATTTTTTGTACAAGAAATCTGGTGTAAAAAGCTAATATGGGTTTTGTACTAAACTCCCAAGAGCAAAAAGGTAAGGACCTCACAACACATTGTACTTTACAAACTAGAACCAAGATGTAGCTGAAGAGTTGGAAGGACTATTCTAGAATCCAAGTTCAGTTTTCAACTCAAGAAGGTGTAGTCCTCCGGATAGGGATGCATCTAGAGGGTTCATAGTATGAACTTTTGATCCAGAAGAACCACTTGAGGAATTTTACATCTTTCACTGGAGTTGATTAGCATGATGAAGAGAGGATGATCATTGACATGAACTAAAAAAATTCTTGCGAAGAAAAATAAAATTGATTCACTGTGTCAGTAATGAGTTCCACTCTAGCACGAGATTTTCAAGTCTTAGATTCCTCTGCCAAATGATGTTGATGTTCATGTTTAAGTAGTGTCCTAACTTTTCCAAGGGGACTAAAGTCACTCGCAAACGTTGTCCAACAAGAGACAAGGCTATCGAAGGGGCTCAAACTAAGAGATTTATCCTCCTAGTCGCGATGTTGGATATGCCTAAACTCGAGTGTCACTCCTTCCACGACGATCGACCGTTCAAAAATCAGAATCCAACCCTGCTCTAGAAAAAATCCAGTCCATAACGCTGGAGTTTTCACACTTGTCATCGGTTCACTTTAGTGATTGGGTTCCTCGTCAGGAATAGGTTCTGACCCTGTGGAAGTTGAACCAAGTTGAGATCCTTTTTTGTATGTCCATACCAGCGTCAGAAAATACGTGGCCCCTCTTTTGTGGAGACCACCTTGATCTTGACAGGCTCTATAGCTTGCATGTGCACCATGCAAAAGTCTTGAATGCTGTTGCTGTTCATCTCATCTATCTATGGGATCTGATGGATGTACCGATTGTAAGGTGATATGGAAGTTAGCCCACTGCGATGATTGTTGGGGCATCTCCGTGTTAAGCGAGTCCTTGACAACGTCTGAACCTGTTTGAACACATGCCTGGGAGAAGAGAGACTCTATAGTCCCTCTTTTGCAAACTCACTGGCGCAATGATATTTTGCCGTAGTGGCGTTGTTCATCATGACATCCAAATTGCTGTGGTTCTTCCATTTCCTCTTTGCCTGCACATGAGATCTCGAATGAGCTCCTGCATATGTATACCTATATCATGACTCGTGCACATGTATCCAATAACTCCATCTGTAGTTCAAGCAGGTTCAGCGTGATGTAACACAGAATTGCAGCAAATCTCGTCTGCAAGGTCCTGTTATGTACCTCAACTCACCTTCTTAGAGAACCTGTCATCGCTACTCACCAGGAGCTTGTTCCAAGTTAGAGCTCTAGGTGAAGTTTTTGTGCATCTACGCCACGCCAAATGAAGCCAGTCTGGATATGTCATTTGAGTCTTAATTTCATGTATGTAAGTTCCACGAGGCAAATTATCTTCAATCTCCAACTTGTGCGGTGTGAGAGGCAGCCAAGATGTTCTGGGGACGTGCACCGCTTATTCCGCAGTGGCGACCAAAGGATCGTCGATTTTCTTTCTTTGAACCACTCTCACCATTTTGGTCTACAGCGATTTCTGACTGCATCCTTCTTGCCCTCTCGTAAGAGTAGACAAGAAGCTTCTGCATTACCACAAATCAAGATCTTGCCTAATCCTTGAGAATAACTTCGGCTGTGTCATAATTAGTGGGATCGAGTTTGTAAAGGAAACATCACACAGCGCAAAGTCATAGACTTTCATGCATATCTTGGTGGAGGCACATGAGGGGTGTCGAGCTTGAGTCGCTTCAAAAAGGTATAAAGGGAGTGTTGTCATCAATGGTAAAAAGTTTCCTCCCCATCCTTGACTCCTTCAATTCCCTCTGGTCTGATTACTCTCTTCAATACTTTGTCCACGCAGACACATCAATAGGTCTCTTTTCTGTTTGCAGTCTCAGTCATGTTGGTCAAATCCGTGTTTTCTGTCTTTGCTTGTGTTGGTAAGTGAGCTCCGAAGCACTTTCAATTGAGCAAATGTTAACCACCAATCTTTATTTACTATTCAGGTCTGTCCACCCAGTCTGTACTGCCAATAAGGTAAGCTCTTTTCTTGCACCCCCTACCAAATCCTTTCATTCCGGTAGTCATGTTTCAGATGGGCTGACAAAATTTCCTCTCATTGTCCAGCCTGACTCATCACAACGCCCGAAGTCTTCACGCACGTGAAGCAAGTGACTTTGGGAAAGTCTGTGACAAGTTGAAAGTCGTTCAACAAAAATCTGAAGACTGTCGTCAAAAGATTGTCGATGGTCAAGCAGATCTGAGCGCATCAGTGGAAATCTTGGCACAATTGAAGGCAGAGTACTCTGCATCTTTACAGCAAGTCACTACCGTCTGCGCCAATTCATGCAAAGCAACCGCAACCGAACTTGTAAGGCTTACCCAATCTTAACCGTGTCGGCTTATTTGCTCACTTTCATGTCATGGCTTGGCTTGTGAAACATAGACTCAATACAAAACCAGCCTCGCTTCATGCCTCAAGTCTTTGAGCTCGGTGACATCCTACTTGAGCATTAAGTTCTCGGCTTCATACGAAGAGAAGACCAAAGGTTAGTGTGACTCTGTCTTGTGAAGGGCTAAAAAGTTGGAAGACTTACGTCTTTTTGACACAGTGATCTTCTCGGATCTATGGTCGAGTTTGAAGCCCGCGGTTGAAGCCGGAGCTCACTCCGGGGCTGATGTGAAGTCCTTTGTCCCCACCCTCGGCATCAACTACGACATCTTGGCCAAACTCAACTTTCAAATCAGCGGTTTCGTAAAAACTGTCTCCAGTTCCAGCTCTTCCAGTTCTACTTCTAGCTCTTCCAGTTCCAGCTCCAGCTCCAGCTCCAGTTCCAGCTCCAGTTCCCACTCCAGCACCAGTTCGGGGTCCACCATCAGCGGCTCTGGCTCGACTACTCAAGGAACCGAATTTGGGAAAGTATGCGATCAGTTAAAGGCAGTTCAACAGAAATCTGAAGAATGTCGTCAAAAGATCGTTGATGGTCAAGCAGATTTAGACTCATCCGTCGAATTCTTAGGCCAGTTGAAATCAGCTTACTCGGCATCTTTACAACAAGGTACCAAGCTTTGCGCCAACGGGTGCAAAGCCAGCCAGTCTGAGATCGTGAGTGTGGACTCATTTTACCAACAGTGAATCGATTTCTCATCTATAGGCTCGCGTCTCTCAAACTTTCTAGGCTCAATACAAAGCTAGCCTTGGTGCATGCCTCAAGTCTTTGAATTCGGTAACTTCCTACTTGAGCGTCAAATACTCAGCTTCGTACGAAGAGAAGATCAAAGGTTAGTGATACATTTCATTTTCAATGTTGTACACAGTATGATTTAACTCACCAATCCTTTTGATATAGTGATATTTTCCGATATATGGGCGAGCTTCCAAGTCGCCATCGAAGCTGGATCTCACTCTGGTGCCGATGTCAAATCCTTTGTCTCCACTCTTGGCATCAACTACGATATCTTTGCCAAACTCGACTTTAAAATCAGTGGTTTCTTGAATATCGGTACTTCTACCGGCTCTGGTTCTGGCACTGTTGTTTCTGGCTCTGGCTCTGGCTCTGGCGCCGACAAGGGTACTGTTTCTGGCGCTGGTACTGGCTCCGGCTCCGTCAACGGTACCGTTTCTGGCTCTGGCGCCGGCAAGGGTACTGTTTCTGGCTCTGGCACTAGTACTGGCACCGGCACCGCCAACGGTGATATTTCTGGCTCTGGCACTGCCTCTGGCGCCGGTAAGGGTACTGTTTCTGGCTCTGGCACTAGCACTGGCGCCGGCAGTGGTACTGTTTCTGGCTCTGGCTCTGGCTCTGGCTCTGGCTCTGTTGTTTCCGGCTCTGGCACCAGCACGGGCTCCGGTGCTGTTTCTGGCTCTGGCGGCGCTGCTCAACAGACTCCCTTCGCGAAAGTTTGCGACAAATTGAAGGTCGTCGAACAGAAATCTCAAGCTTGTCGTCAGCAGATCGTAGACAGTAAAGCAGATTTGAACGCAGCTGCCGCAATCCTAGTCCAATTGAAGGCAGAGTACTCTGCATCGTTTCAGTCAGTCACAACCGTCTGCAGTAGTGGCTGTAAAGCCAGTCAGGCTGAGATTGTAAGTCTCGAATCATCCTGACTTGGAAGAAGTAGCGTCTTATTGACTTGCCTAACTTACAATCTTCCTAGGCTCAATACAAAGCAAGCCTTGGTTCGTGTCTCAAGTCTTTGAACGCGGTCGCACTTTACTTGAGCGCCCACTTCTCCGCAAGCTACGAAGCCAAGACCAAAGGTGATTGCCACGTTTCATTTTCTTTTCGATAAAGCACGTTTTAATTACCTTTTCCGCCTTCACAGTGATCTTCTCCGATTTATGGTCCAATCTCAAACCGGCTGTCGAAGCTGGTGCCAAATCAGGTACCGATGTCAAGACCTTCGTCGCTTCCCTTGGCCTCAACACAAACTTGTTTTCAAAATTGAACTTCCAAGTCATTGGTTTCTCACAAGGATCCTTCAGCTTTGGAGTTAGTGGTGGTGGTAGCTTCGGAATCGGTGGTGGTGGTGGTTCGATTGCTCACACGGCCTAAACAATTTCCTCTCTTTATTTATTTGTACCGTCTTTCAAAATGTAGGCTGAAGTGTAGTCTCGTTCTTTTACTTCGAAGATAATGTCTCCAATCCATTCCCTTGTTGCCTCTATCAGCGTCTTATAAGCCATTCAATTTCCATGAATTGATAATCGAGAGACTCTGATACCTTTTGTGCTGAATTGTGAAGATACATGCGAAATTGATTATCTATGTATGACATCATTGAGAAGTCATGAGCTTGCGAGGATAGATCATCACATTCACATCTAGTTCCAACGTTGCGAAGGCTATCTTCCGAGCACTCTTTGTGACGATTGCCCATCTACATACCTCATTTCATTCTCAAACCTTTGGTCCTGGCTTGCGACCGAGCGGAATTCAAAACCTTTGATTGGCTTGGTCTTCCCACACTAATTTTACAAAAACATGGCTTGAAATCGTCAGATGTTCAACGTGGTTGTTCATCATGAGACGAGACATGACGACCGAGTTGTATAGGTCGTTAATGACGACCTGGGAATCTACTGTAGATTGATACATACCAAAGGATGGTCATAGTCGGTTTAAAGTGAGCAGAGCCTGTGTTTGTGTCTCTCCATCATCACTTCTCCAAAAGGTCTTTCACCATTTTTTGTCTTACACCTTGAATCCCAGTGATTCCAAGAAAGGAAGTTGATAAGTTTAGGGACCAATCTCAAGAATACTCACTCGACCAATCAATCAATCATCAAGTTCACCAACTCTCGCACCTTTTCAGCTTTGACACATTCAATTTGATTTCATCTGATCTAGTCTGACCGCCACCCGCGTAAAATAGTGATTGTAGTTGATAAATTTCCAACACCTGCAAAAACCGATCTCGTTCACTGGTGTATATCAGCCCAGTCTCACTCCAACGTTTTCTGCTGTTTTCTCTCATCGATTCAACACTTTGGCACTCTGCTGTCCTTCATCGACACATAAGCACACATACCTCTTACCCAAGCGCAGCACCGCAGGCTTGAAAGTATACAAAGCTGATCTCGAAGAACCACTCAATCAGAACTGCTTTGGACAGTTTTGTCGGTCCCTGATTCCACTTTGGTGCGTCATCGAAATTGATTCAATTCATTCTTCTCTTTCTCTTTACAACTTTACCGCGCTCTTCCGAACCCCGAGTTTTTTCGCCCTACCTCTCCCATCCTTTGACTCTTAACTTAACCAGCCTTTGATTTCCACAGATCGAACATCACATTCCTTCTTTTGATCGTTTTCACCTTCGACCTACCAAGAACATTACACGGTCGTTCACCTCATTTGCGACTCGTTTTATCGTTTTTGATTCCTCCTTTTTAGTTTCTCAACTACCCTCACTCATTCGCTTTCCATATTCTGGAGCTCTATCGTTCAGACACTGGTATCTTTGATTTTTCATCACTTTTCAAGCATCAATGACTTTTGCCACTCGCTCAGGTAGGTCTTTATCTGTGAATTTCGAAATATTCTGTGTCCGCACTCACGATTAACACTTTTTCACAATTACCAGCGGTGGTCTTCTTGGCCGGCTTGCTCGGTTCATTTTCCGCCAATGCACAGCAAATTCCAGGTGTTACACGGAGTTTCTATGGGATGGCTTACTCTCCTGAAGGTGCCTTATTGCCCAACTGTGGGGCTACTCAGGCCGCTGTAACCCGAGACATGGCCAATGTCGCTCAATTCACCCCTCGTATTCGTCTCTAGTGGGTTACTATTTCGTATACGATATGTCCATCCAAATTTACCACCATGCTGATCTATAAACCGATCTTATTGGCTGCTTGTGCTTGTACTTTTGTGGATTCTACTCTTTATCTCAATCTTTTGGTGACTCAGTGGGTCGGATTGCAATCAGACTGCTTTAGTCCTTCAGGGTATCAAGGATGCCGGCAACGTTGACCTCAGTGTCTGGCTTGGAATCTTCATTGACGGAAACGACACTGTTTACCAACGTCAAATGGACGCTGTCACCGATGCCATCAAGAACTATGGTGTCGACCACATTGCCGGTATCACCGTTGGAGTTGGTTTTTTCCTCTGCACTTCACTTTGCATCCAACACTTACGCCTACTGTGACTGTTCAGAACGAGTACTTGCTTCTTTCCTATGGGGACAGTGGGTCAGCCACTGACCCTAAAGGGGTTGCCGCTCGAACAACATTGCTGAACTACATCAAAAAAACCAACCAAACTCTCCAAGCCATGAAACTCCCCAAAGTAGGTCTTTTTCGGTGTTTGATACGGTCCGATTTTTGAGCTGATGAAATCTGACTTTCCAAACAGTCAATTCCACTCGGAACTGCTGATGCCGGAAGCGCTGTGACCAAAGAGCTTTGCGCTGGTGCCGACTATGTCATGGCCAACGTACATCCTTGGTTAGTTTTTTCACCTTCCATTGCTCGACTTACTGATCAATGACACTCAACATGCTCTGGTGCTCAGGTTTGGAAAAGTTCCGATTGCCGATGCTGCTACATGGACCTGGCAATTTTATCAGGTTAGTTTTACCGATTTCCTAGCATGCTTGACGCGGAGTTGACGACCAACTCCATGACTGCGTGTAGGACTTTGATGTCAAGATCTGTGCTCAAGCACCCAACAATCCCATCATGTACATTGCCGAGACTGGTTGGCCCACAACGACCGACAATGCATCGATGTCAGCCGCCTGGCCCAGTGGACCCTCTAATGCCAACTTGCAAACCTTTTTAGACACTTTCATCTGTCCCGCCAACGCTAACGGAACCAACTACGTTAGTCATTTCATGTGCATTTGACTATACACTTTGAGCTAACTTCGATTACCCTTCATGTTGCTTTGAATCTGTTCAGTTTTTCTTCGAGGTAGGCAATATCAACCTTTCATTTTCACGCTAATACTTAACTAACCTGCCTTGATGACCACAGTACAAAGATGAAATCTGGAAAAAGGTGTATGGAGGTGTCGAAGTAAGTCAGAATTGCGTTGTAATCGATTCACCCAATGCTAACATGTATTCCTTTCTTATCAGCCATACTGGGGATTGTTCGATACAAACTGTTAGTTTAACTATTCCGATGCTCCCGCAGTGGTACATAGCTGATTTCGAAAACCTATCGTTCTGCCTTTATAGTGAAGTTGAAAGACTTGAAATTCCCAAGCTGCCCTGTTCAATCTCCAACCAATCGCGCGGTCGTGGTTTCTTCGAGCGCTGCTACCAACACTGGTAGTGGCATCACACCGATCCAAGGTAGCGCGAAGAAGTCTAGTGCTCCTCGTCGTGAGATGCAGCCATTGATCATGAGCTCTCTGCTTATCATCATTGGGCTCCTCGTGCTATTGTAAACTTATCTGCATGTCTGCTACCTACATTTGTCAGTGTCGGATGGGTTACATGCGTTCACACTATGAGCTTTTGTCCTTGTCATAGTCGGATATTCAATATTATCCACCTTGTTCCTCTACATGGGCCATGTGCACATTCCGAAATATCAGCATATCTTTCGAATATCTTACCTTCAAATCAGATTAACTTTAACTTCTCTCATATAGCATCTATACTCGGAATCTCTACGTATTGAGTTTGTAAATTCCAATATCGTAACTCTTTATTTGCGAACGTTTCTTTTCACCTTTTTACTGCAACACTTTCATGTTAGTTTCTCGGATCTATCCTTTAGTTGATTAAATGAATTCATATTCTGGCCCAAGTGAGTGTGACATTCTATGAAGTGACCAAGTTTCTTGTCGAGTAGCTGTACAGTTGGCCTGTGTGGATTGTTACTGTCCTCAACCGAACCTCGCGATGGCACTTGCGAACGGTGTATGTTATCGATCATGCGATTTCCACCACTGATGTGACAATGTCCAGGGTCTTATGATTGAAAGTCGCACCGAGTATGCCAGGGTAGATGAGTGTTAGTCCCAAGAGGAGAGTAATTTATCCAATTGTGATCAAATTTCAACACTGTGCACAATATACAGAAACATTTATGTTTCAAGATACTTGGTGCCTTTGCTCTTGCTTGTTGATTCACAGGATCACAGTGGGCTAAAATACAACTTCTTCCCCCGAGTACGACAAACACATTAGAGAGACGTCGGATTGGGAAATTGATTCAAAAGTATGGCTAGATGCAAGACATCTCAACCACCCGGCTGAGTGCTAAATTGCACACGTGGCTAGGTCCTTTCATCAAAATTGAAATCGTTTTGCCAAATGATCATATATTGAAATCACCTGAGTGTATATGAGTCGCGTGCATCCAGTGTTTTCAGTATGATTATTACAACCTTACGAGGAAAGTAGGTGTCTGGACAAGCTCAAAAACCGCGTCCGCCAATAGTGATTAACAAGGAAGAAGAATTTGAAGTACAAGAAATCCTCAACAAACGACATTGAGGCTCAAGAATTGAATACTTAGTGAGCTGGAAGGGATATGGAGCTGAAGATGACTCTCAGAGGAGACTGTCAGATTTAGTCCCACATGCCCAGACTGTCGTATCCTTATGCTTCAATCTCAGTTATACTATCAGGACATCTTTTCTCTGACCTCTGATAACCTTGAAGCTTGTAACAGCGGCGCCCTGGCCTGCCGGTGACTTGTGATTGGGAGCTGTGATTGATGTAGGTGACCATGCCATCAAAATAATCATAGATGTTATTGGACAAAGGTTCATTCCTTGATGGTTTTGTGAAAATGTTATTGTTCTCACCCAATTGATTTGGAGGCCTGCTTAGATTGTATTTGATTCCTTTGGCAGCAGGTTTAGGATGATTTGATTGATCCTTGGGAGGGTTTTGCACTTAGGTGGCTGACGGATCAACTGATTGCAGGAGCCATCGTTGGTGGTAGGATTGAGGCTCTTGCGCTTGGTACTAGGTTCAGGCTGAAAGATCAAACCATTGGATTGAGAGTCTTTGTCATGGTGTCAAACAGAATCGCAAGAATTGGCGGGAGATTTGATGTAAGGTTGTTCTATAGCTGGGGAGGTCTGGGTCCTGCCAATACCCGAACCGCTACGCTACGCTATGAGATTCGGGCATTCTCCATGGTGGTGCGCAGCTGGCGCTATGAGGCTGCGCACTCATAGCTGCGCTATTTGGTCCAAAAAAATTTCTCACGATGTCGCAGCGGTACATCCCGCTATGTTTGCGCTATATGGCGCGCTATGTGAGTGAAAAGAAGCTTAAAAAAAGTTTATGACATTTTAAAGAAACAAAAGAAGACAACACCTTTTCTTGACGCAAAAAATCAGTCAAGATTGGTGCCCACCTGGTTAGCTGCTTTTGAAGCTCCTCATATGGTCAAGTCACTTCTGGACCAAGGATCGAGTTGGTGTCCAAAAAAACCTGAGATGCAAAGACTAGCCAGATTGGAATCACATTCTTCTTAGTATCATAGAGTTTCCAAAAGCCTTTGGTAAATTCATCTTCAAATCGATCGGGCGCTCGGCAGTTTTCCAGAATACATAACTCTGAGAACAGCTCAATCAGGATTACTCGGTCTAGTGCTGTGAATTGTCAAAGTGACATCTTGGAGTGATCAGTGTTTTGATCATAAGCGCCCTTGAAACCCGGAATTGACCAAGATATCTGACCCGGTTGCCAACTTGGCAGAGGTTCTTGAGTGTACTCTGTGTTGTTTGATGTGGTGTAATGTGGTGCAAAGGCCTGAGATTGGTTGTTGATGTTCAAATCTGGTTAAATATGATTGTTGGTGGCGGAAATTTGAATTGAATACCCAACCATGTAACTGCTTAGTTTGCTCCACTATATAGCGGAGTACACCACGGAGTGGTCCGGCCCATCTGCAGACTGGGACGGAGGCCGTCTGCAGACGGGCCTTTTTTTATATAGTCACAGACCGTCTGCAGGTAGGCGCTGGTCCCACCGTATGCAGACGGCCTTTCAAATACCACCTGCAGCCTGCCTGCGAGTCGACTGCAGACGAGATGCAGAGGGTCAATCACTGGTCTGGGTCCTGGGTTCTGCTCCACACCAATTCTCAATAATAGACCAGTGAGACAACTGCTAGCCTTGAAATTTGGCTAGCAGGCAGCTAATTCAAAGAATCAAAATAATATCTATTTATCAATGCATTAAAGATTTTCTCAGACATAGGAAGTTGATAACAATGAGTATATCATAAGAAAATACAAGTTTTTTTCTATTGAAACTAAATAAATGTGTTGAATCATGACTTGAACATCAATCTTTGGTTGAAAAAAGAGAACAATCAGGGTTTTGATTCTGCTTCAAAAATTTCCAGTTAAAATATAATTTTCTAATCGATTCTTTGTGGGTTTGATTTGTAGTCGATTTAATATCAATAGATTGGAGAAATGAATCTATCATTGTAGAAATGGTATCAATTTCTGTTACTGATTGAGTTCCACCAGCTCTGGTTATAATTGTTCAAAAAAACAACAAAGTCAGTGATTTGAACCAGTTTTCCTCGATTTAATGAAAAGCAATTGACCACTTTTTAAAATCACCCGATTCTTAATTTATGATGTATCATCATCATTATCATTGATTGAATGAGATTTCAACGAGAGCGTTATGATTTTCGGTCGAATAGATTGAATTTGAGGTTATCGTTACCCATGAAGGTCAATGAGACAGATACAAAATCTGATTTAATCGGCACACTTACCTCATTAAGCTCAAAGATTACTAATCGATCACCTTTATCACCTGTAGCGAGATAATTCCTTGTGTGATCGACATCAACAGTTGAGATGATATCCACGATCAATATCAACAGCTGAGATGATATCTGATTTGATGATATCTTCGACTTCCGTTTTCTCGGCTTTATGATTGAATAGATTGGTAATTAGCAAGATCGATCAAGAGTAGATGATCAAAAAGCATTCAGGATAAGATTGAAAGACAAACCAAAAAAATGAGCAAATCTCCAACCAGATGAGTAACTATCTAAATCTGTTCCCGGAGCTGTAGCTATTGATGAAAAAGAAGATATCAAAGTAGTGATGATAAGAAAAAAGATGATGAATATCAGTCAAAAGCATGTTTTGTCAAAAGTCTGAATGATTGTGAGATCTCAAAGGGATGTTTTCAGATGATAAGTTTTCTTGAATGATTTGAATGAAGTTGGGATTTGATTTGTTTGATGAGATTGTTTTGATTTGATTTGATGATGATGATATAGTTATATGAAGTTGATGATGATGAGTTGAGATGGATTCGATGAAGTTGAAGTTATTGAGAATGGTTTTGAGGAATTGATCGGTGGTTGTTTGGTTTGTTGAGTGATGTCATGATTTCAAGTTGAGGTTAAGTTCGGTTAAAGCTTTCTTAAATTTGACCTTATGAAAAAATTTATTAAAAGGAAGAATAGTCTGGCAGACGTCTGACAGGCGCCTGCCAGCCTTTTTTCAGACTTGATCACGCACACCGGCTGCAGTCCGACTACGTACGGTACTCAATCGGATCGCAGCCGGTATGTAGCCTGCTCTCACCAACCATTTTCAGGCCTGTGAAAGGCCACTTTCAGGCCATTTCCCGGCCATTTCACGACCCCGACGACGCTCAGACCTCACCGACGCTTTTTCTGCTCAAGAACCACTCCGTGGTGTACATGTTTGTGGTGGTATTAAAGGCGTAAGATCGTTTTGAAATTAGCTGATGATTTTTTGACCTAAATTTTTGATTTCATTTTGATTAAAGTCTTCAAAGTCTTTTGATCCTTCAACCAGTGAGGACAAGTTAAGCATCCGGCAATTGATCAACCACAGGAAACTCGGATGTGGTGTTCATGGTATTTAACGTGGTGTTTCGAATAGCGGTTTGTTGACTGCTGGGACACTCGTTGAACAACCATCACCCAATCTACCTCGCAGAAAACGGACCACAGTCCGACAATCCGCCAGCACACCATTGGGTTGTCAGCGGGTGAAACTCAAAACCCCCTGGTGCCGGTTTTTCAACGAAAAGAGGGTTCGTGGTGTACACACAGATGGAAAATAGTCAAGTTTATCTTGGCCAGTACTCATGAGATGTAGATACAGAGCTGTTGAGTTGAAAAGGGTTTCGAAATCTTTTGAAACATCAAATCATGGGCCAAAGTGATCAGATAATGCAAGATCTGAAGACTGAGACCCACTCTCCACCCAAATTGACCAAAGGGTTAAGATTCCAACCCTTCTGTTGCCGAGCTTACCAAACAATGACAAAGCTGGTTCTCACGTGAGAGGTTGCAATGAAAGTTGCAGAGATGGTCCTATGCTTATTGTAGATGTTCACAACAAATGATGTCCTTAGACAAATTACTCATGCTAGATCATTTCCTGCAGC